AGAATTATTCCAAGCATGGGAGACCTAGAATGATAAACTTGAACATGTAATTATAAGTTGTTATCCATAAATTGTGTCTACTGTGTCATTCCCAACTGTACATTATGACATTAAACACATTTGTCTCCCGGACAATCATGTGTGGGAGATACGCTCTGTCCTAGACTGGTTTGCTTGCGCTTGCCTACATTCCTAGTATCAGTACAATTTTTTCAGGAAATCAATGTTGTGAAAACATATTAATAGCATTGTTTTCGTAAAATGTTTGTTTTCTACTTTTATCTAAGATAAATATTTAAGCTGAAATATGTCCCATATTCTCATTCCCGGTTCTGAAGGTACCACATGCAAAATACAATTTGTTTTACCCTCTGGGTTACACATATGAGCACAAATAGTTAAGCACAATTTCTTTATTTTCCTTATAATCGAACCCGGGTCGATAGCGACTAGCCTAGCCTCCATGCAGTGACGCCATCCCACTGTACTGTCAGTGTTTGTATACTAATAAAATCCCAAACTTGTGCAATATCCGACATTTTATATATATAATATCCCCGATTTTACACACAAAAAAAGGTTGATTTAATATTTCAGATGTATCAAACTTACAACCTTCGCTGATAAACCGCAATGCTTTGGTAATTCTCTTTTACAAGTACATGTACGCCAGAAAAAGGTATTTTACGTCTGTTTCTTCAATTTAAAGTTAATGGATAGTGTGTTTGAAACATAAAATTGTATAAAACTAATTATTTTCAGATTTTTCTTTGGGTGTATGAGTAATACAACACTTCCCCTCGTTTTTTTACGAGCTGTTTTGTTTGTTTGTTGTTTAACGCCGCACTCAGCATTATTCCAGCTATGTGACGGCGGTCTGTAAAATATCGAGTCTGGACCAGACACTCCAGTGATTGACATCATAAGCATCGATCCAGGCAATTGGGATACGATGACATGCATCAACCAAGTCAGTGAGCCTGACCACCCGATCCCGTTAGTCGCCCCTTACGACGAGCATAGTCGCCTTTTACGACAAGCAAGGGTTGCGTGGTATCTATCGTACACTTACAAGTGCAAGTGAGTTCAAAACAACACATCTGGAAAATACAAGTTGTTAAAGGCATCATTCACTTATGTTTCGTTTAGAGCTGCGCCCCCAATGGTTTATTCTTTCTGCGGTGTTTTATCGTACGACAAACAACGACCAAGAGTCGTTTATTTCTTAAATACAACCAACAGTTGACAGCTAGAAGCAGTAGTGGCACATTCTTGAGGATGTGGATAGTTGATAGGAGGGTGGTGTCAAATGTTGCAGGAAGGCACGAGAGAGAGAGAGAGAGAGAGAGAGAGAGGGGGGGGGGGGGGGGGGGGTACGCTTTCTTAGTAAAGTACAAATTCTAGTAATTTTTTCTTTTGGTTGAGGCCGGGATCGGGGGGGGGGGTCAGATCCCTGACTTTGTGTGCTGACTATTAGGTGCCTCACTTTGAGAGTGTGGGTTAGAATCCCGGATGGGACTTCCCACCCAGTCCTTGTACTTGGAAACATACAGTATTTACCAGCAAAACAATTCATAAATTAGAGTTTTGTGATTCGTTTAAATCCATTACAGTTCCCTCGCATGATTTTGAAAATGCCGTATTTTATCTGGTTCCTGATTTCAATCTCATGAGCAATAGAAATTGTTGGCAATGTTTAGGAGCTTGTGACGTCACTGATCGTAACAGTATGTAACTAATACCCAGGGTAATGGAGGTATGCACGTGTATATATATACATAAATATCTACAAAATAAACATAATAAAATCAAAAAGGAGCTCAGACTAATCACCAATTTCAGGCCTAGAGCTGAGGCAATCTACACTTGCCAAATCATTCTAGGCTTGAGTTGGAGTCCTCTTTAACTTGTTTTCTCAAGGGTCTCGGACTAACAGTATACCCACCACGAGGCATAGTCTTTGGTTTAGCCCCTTTTATGTTTTGGAATGACACGGCCTGGGAATTGAGCCACCTGGGGATCGAACTACCAGCCAGCGTCAATTGAAAGGACCAGGAAGGATAAGGTCCTTGTGGGTCCACAGGACATGACAATTATTAAAGTTGAGCACAATTTTGAATTCAAGTAGCATTAGTGAACATGTGACCACTTTTGGGACATATGTCTTCAAAAGGTTGAACTCATTTCTTAAATAACGCAAAGGGGTGTGTTATCATAATCTGAAAAAGGGAGTTTGTCTGTTGTTTAACGCCGCACTCAGCAATATTCCAGCTACATGGCATCGGCCTGTAAATAATCGAGTCTGGACCAGATAATCCATTGATTGATATCATGAGCTTCGATCCATGCAATTGGGATCGATGACATGCATCAACCAAGTCAGCGAGCTTAACCAATCTATCCCGTTAGTCGCCTTTCACGACACGCATGGGTTGCTGAAGACCTATTCCACCATGAATCTTCACGGTCGAAAAATGGAGCATAACTCCTAATTGCCTCATATCCAAACTTACAAGTTTACTAGGGCGGTCGGGTAGCCCAGTGGTTAAAGCGTTCGCTTGTCACGCCGAAGACCCGAGTTCGATTCCCGACATGGGTACAATGTGTGAAGCCCATTTCTAGCGTCCCCCGCTGATATTGCTGGAATATTGCTAAAAACGGCGTAAAACCATACTCACTCACTCATTCACTACATGTTTACAAGAAATCATAGATGACAAGAAGACTATGCATTTCACATGTCATTTATTTCTAGTCAGCTTGTGAAATAGATCGATACAAATTGTATAAGGTTTTATAAAACATGAATGTGACAATGTTAAATTATGGGATGACTTCATTGTCCATATTGAGCAAGGAAGGGTCACAATGAGCCCTGCTCACGACTTCAGATAGAACTTGGTAGGTAGTGCGTTCTTACCAAACACAATGTATACTCCGGAAAGTTTCATAGAAATAGAGTCGTCTATGGTTGAATCTTAGAACCGATCACTTGATAGTTTGGTTTATATTTGGGGGGCGGGGGGCGGGTAGATCTAATTTGAGAAAATAATTTGAAGACATCGGAAATAATAATATGGCCTCAGGTTTTACCCCAAATATGTGTTGGTTGGCTGGAGAGTCAATGTGTGTTTGCAACAATAATATTTTGGGTAATCCTTCTTGATACAAGACATAGGTGGATCCAGAGGGGACGGCCACCCCCTAAACCCCCCCCCCCCCCCCCCCCCCCCCCCCCCCCTGAAAACCATATATAGTATGTTGTAGACCAAATCCCACCCCCACCCTCACCCCTTTCACGACTCTATATCTTGACAGTGACTGAGCGGGTGTCAACAAAGGAATATGGATACCACCCCCCACCCCCTGCTCCCCAACCACCACCTCCTAAGAATATTAAACGGTTGTCCTGGAAGTCATGTAATGTCTTGCTGCCCAGCTGATGTTCAATCACTCATGATAATTTGCATGATGTCCCTGATAATTGTCAGACATGCCACCATGGTCACAATCCCCACATAGAAACAACTTTACATTGACATAAACGACAAACACCCACATGGTTATGGACTCACTAAGGCCTTTAAATTAATTGGTTTCCAGAACTTAGGGCACCAATTTTAATGAAGCTGGTAAAATAAAGGACTTGCTTTTGACGAATGAAAAACATAAAGTCAAAACACCCCACACAGAACTGAAACCACATCTATGATGTGAATGGGTTTTTCAGCTGGTTAAGGTAAATCACTAATTCCTGTAAAGAGATGGATTTTCTATGGCATGTTTTTAATTTCACATTAACATGGACCACAGTGCCATAGAATAAGTTTGGTCCAGTCATTTCTTTTCTTTTATGACTTAATTTATGTAGGAAGGTTCTTTGGTTTGGTTAGGTTTGTTGTTTTACTCAGCACTCAGCAATATTCCAGCTATATGACGGGGTCTGTAAATAATCAAGTCTGGACCAGACACTCCAGTGATTGTTATCATGAGCATCGATCAACGCAATTGGAATCGATGACATGCTTCAACCAAGTCAGCAGCCTGACCACCCGATCCCGTTTGTCGCCTTTTACGACAAGCATAGTCGCCTTTTACGGCAAGCATGGGTTGCTGAAGACCTATTCTACCCCGGATCTTCAAAGGTTTTGTAAACCAACTAATAACAAATAAAAGGTCTGAGGGACATTCAGTTTACACAGTAGAAAATCTGGCACTTTCCAGCTGTTTTAGCTGGAGAGTAACCAGAAGCAAACCAATCAGTAACATCCATCAGTATTGGTCTCATCTCAGACATCCTATTACTTTAGCATGTTTAGGGACTGGTCATTTAGTAAGGAGGGGAGATTGGTCTTAGGACTGTATCATATTGTGCAGACGCACGCACGCAAGCACGCACATAATACACAGACAATTTTATGTAACATATTTTACGCACGCACGCACACAGACAATTTTATGTACCATATTTTACGCACGCACACACAGACAATTTCATGTAACATTTTTTTCATGAATCCCTCTCCCTATAAGTGACCAGTCCCTATAAAATGTCCACTAAATGGTACAGGTACATTTGGCAGTAGGGTCATACTTACAAGTTAGGATGCCCTTGTATTAAACAACCTGTCATAAGTCCATGTTAACGTGGTTAAGGTATGGGAGTTAAGATCACCTTAGCTCCAAGATTGCTTTGTATAAGGGCACCTATATGTATATGAAAATATGAGAGAAAGGACATAGAAACTAATTGTGTGCCACTATTTGAAAACTGAAATAATTATACTGGTATCTCATACACTTGGTCTTCTACCAGGATTCTATTATGTTTAAAGCACAGGTCTACTGTAAACAAAGCCATATCACTACATGTCGGTGTTTAAGCAAAGGAGAAAAGGCATATGAAGTATTTCTTCAGTGTGGAAGCTTATGTCCAACTAGAATCGTTTTATAAGTTTTGTGAAAATGATAAGCAGGTTTCTAGGCTTTTTTGAGTTACATTTTATACATGCTTCTTCCAGATTCAATCAACAACACCTCACAAATCACATCAGTAAGGCTGCATACTCGTGTTAAATGTTTCTTGGGCCAAATTTCTCAGTTGTGAGAAGGGAGGTAGGACCCTTTTATATATACTGAACAAAAACAGTTAGGGATCATGAATATATTTTTCGGGGGATATTTTTAGGAAATTGTGTGTTCAGTCTTCACTTAAAAAAATATTGTAATTTTTTTTTTCAATACACATCTAAGTTTTTCATTTTTTTTCCCACAGAGATTACCAATAAACACACCTGGGCTAACACCGACCTTGTCTTTTTAATGAAATGACAGTTGTCAAGCTTGTCATTCTATAAATAACAGATTATGCTTCATATGACAAGGGAATTTTGAACAATATTTTTCTTTTATTGGCAAAATAAATGACCGACACCCATGCCCAAGAAACAATTCCTTATTTTGTGAGCCTAAAGCACCCTTAAATGAACTGCAGCTTGATAGCAATACATTACAGTTACATTGTCTGGTACCAGTGCCAAAAATGAAGCTGATTCATTTCCGAAGTTGACATCAGATTTACTCAAGAAACCACACATTCTTCATTTAGATTGGTCAGTTAAAGATTGCTCTGAGTTCACCTGCCACAACCTACTTAGGAGGTGTCCTCCAATCTTCACGTCGAGATGTATCAGAGCAAAAATTGTGATTCCAATGAGATTTATCAAACAATATTTCATTGTGAGGCAAACTAAAAAATATTCAAAAACGGCTAGCAGTAGCATGGTAGTATAACAAACGACATAGCCTTAATTAGGACACAAAATACAAATGGGTGAATTAAATCTATTTCACAAAACATCATACCACAAATAAGCACTTGACCATCCTTAATATCTTCATTCTATAATGATAAATATCCTGTACCTGTTCGTCACCGTACATTTGTTTAGGAAGTGACCACACGATCTTTCCTATCTCTAACTTGGCACAGAAATTTTCTCGCTCATGATGGTAACTTTAGCATCATTTCAGTAGAATTGGACTCAAAAAGAGGCTATGGTGGCTTTGAGTCCCGGGTATTTATCATGACATAATGAAGATATAATACATTAGTTACTCGAGGATGTGACTGAGCATTCTGACATTTCTGGAAGTATAAACAAGGCCAAGAGCCACAAAAGACATGATGAGGAACTTGAACCTGAGGACACTGAGGTGAAGGTCGTGATGGAAGGCACACGCAGGTCACTCTCTCACCGCTTGCAGCGAGGTAGGTTGCTGTGTACAGCTGCCTGGTGTCCGACGTCTCCTGATTGGTGGAGGCAGTGGCAGTGTCAGAGGTCACTGGGGTTTGAGGTCTTGTCAGCATTATCCGAGTTGAAACAATGTTGAAGTACTCACTGAATCTGGTTTGGCAGTAACAGTTGGTCCAGAATCACCAGCACTGCAACATCAGGGGTGTGGAAATACCATGTGTGACTTGTCCAGCCTGGTGAGTGACGGAGTGATGAGTTGGGTGTAAAGCCTTTTTGAATAGTATTGGTTGTATGATGTCACACCAGCATATTGTGTAGTCTAAATGGGCTGTCATTTTAGGACTGTGGGACTAGATCTGTCGTCATGGTGTAGTATTCTGGTTCAAGTTGGTTGATAAAGTCAAAAAAGTCTCCTCAAAACTTCAAAATGCACTATCAACCATGTGTGTACCTTCTGGTATTAAAACAAAATACATCTCATGGTCGAGCATTTAATATGTGCTAGAACTGGTCCTCAGCAACATATGCTTGTCAAATGAGGTGATGTTCTTGATCAAGTGGTTAGGCTTGGTTGGTAGCGCATTGTAGGAAGGATGTTGCACATAACATTGTTCACTTTTCAATCCAAAGAGGCCACTTTCAAATAGCTGAGTTCAGTGTCAAACAACAAATTTAGTACTTATTAAGTCATGGTCATGGACATTTGAGGGATGAAGTTTGTTGAAATCTTTACTTATATGCGATTAGAAGCAACTGGTACCTCAAGTCCAAACCAAAGACCCCACAAAATGAAGTAAATAATAAGTGTGCATACTTAATTCAAGACAAGGAGAGACGCCTTCAAATCAAGACAAGTACATGTTGACAGTTCTCTTTCTCTAGGACAAGTAACAGTTTGGCTTGATTTTCACACCCTTGTATAAGATACATATGAGCCTAGATGGCATTCTACCAGATGGGTCCTGTCCGAAACCCATCCTAAAGATACATGTGCTTTGTAGCTGGCGTTCTGCCAGATGGGTCCTGTCCAACACCCCTGTATAAGATGCGTGTGCTGCATAGGTGGCGTCCTATTGAATGGGTCCTGTCCAACACCCCTGTATAAGATGCGTGTGCTGCGTAGGTGGCGTCCTATTGAATGGGTCCTGTCTGACACCCCTGTATAGGATACGTGTGCTGCATAGGTGGCGTCCTATCGAATGGGTCCTGTCCAACACCCCTGTATAAGATGCGTGTGCTGCGTAGGTGGCGTCCTATTGAATGGGTCCTGTCTGACACCCCTGTATAGGATACCTGTGCTGCGTAGGTGGCGTCCTATCGAATGGGTCCTGTATGACACCCCTGTATAAGATGCGTGTGCTGCATAGGTGGCGTCCTATTGAATTGGTCCTGTCCAACACCCCTGTATAAGATGCGTGTGCTGCGTAGATGATGTTCCACCAGATGGATCGTGTCTGGCAGCACAGTTGCAGCAGCTGGCATGGTGTATAGGGTTACATGTCACTGGGAAGCTAAGATGTTTGCCAGTAGTGTTTGCTGAGATCCCGAGAGGTCTGATATTTGCCATAGGGAGCTGCCCTCAATATGACAGTTTTCAGCAAACACGATGTTCTGCTGTTTATCAAAACACTTGATGTTCTGCTGTTTATCAAAACACTCTATGTTCTGCTGTTTCTCTACACACACAACGGATGTTCTGATGTTTGTTAACACATACGTTGGATGTTCTGATGTTTGTCTACAAATACATTGGATGTTCTTCTGTTTCTCTACACACACAACGGATGTTCTGATGTTTGTCTACACACACAACAGATGTTCTGATGTTTGTCAACACATACATTGGATGTTCTGATGTTTGTCAACACATACATTGGATGTTCTGATGTTTGTCAACACATACATTGGATGTTCTGATGTTTGTCTACACACACAACGGAAGTTCTGATGTTTGTCAACACATACAATGGCGTCATCGTCTTCTGTTTGTCAACAAATACGATGGATATTCTGATGTTTGTCAGCAATAGCTGCCCTTGTTTCGGCAGTGTTCGACAAATGCAATAAATATTCTGATGTTTGTCAGGAATAGCTGCCGTCGTTCCGGCAGTATTCGACAAATTCAATGGATGTTCTGACGTTCGTCAATGGATGTGATGCTGTTTCCTGAAGTCAGTCAGCAGAAGCTGCCGTAACAGCAGAATATATACACGATGGATGTTTCCATAGTTACTGGGATGTTGAGAAGAGTCCTGATGTAGGTCTTATACGCAATGTACAAACAAAGTGTCTTTGGCTTGGAGCCCTGCATCCTTTAACTTGGTGCTTGGGCTGAGAAGATGTAGCTGCCTTCTGGGAAAGTTTGTCACCAGCTCAAAATCACCAGACTTGATGCCTTTTGATACAACAAATTTAAGAAGAGCCTGAAATAAAAAAAGGAACAAATGAATGCATGAGTGAGTGCATGAGTGAGTGCATGAGTGAGTGAGCGAGTGAGTGAGTGAGTGAGTGAGTCTTTAAAGCCTCTTCCACTTATTGGTCAGTGAAATAAACCTCTACAAAGCCAAAACAATATTCATTATTAGATAATATGAACAGGTAAATTGGTTATGTTAAATTGGGATTTCTTTTATTAAGACATATGGTGCATACTTGGGGCCAAATATCGGCTTCTGAGCAGCCCTAAATAAATCCCTGCACAGTGCCAACATTGGTTAACCAGCCAATTTAGACCTGAGCCAATGGTATCAAAGTGTGCAGTAAACATGGAATCTGCTGAACAAACACATGGATTTTAACATATCAACATTGAGTAGGTTTAACGCCACTTTGAACAGCATTCCAGTTATACTCTGGCATGTCAGCACCCATGAGAGGGAAGCCCATCGAGATGCAGGTCTTGGACTTTTACCTCTCATGAGCACTGGTAACATTAGCCCGGTTATGGTGCTGACAAACCTAGAAACATAAGCGGGACTCAAACCCACAATAACAGATTTCTGGTGCGCCCTAGGGATGCAACTCTGCTCAGCGAATTGTGGAGCCTGAGACGACTGGGCCACCCATGCCCCCTATCAGCATATAAAAACGTGTGGGACAATGTTCTTTTTTAAATACATTAATGTTCATAACAGTAAACCTCTTAAAGGCAAGACTTTCCAAAGAACTGTATATGCTTACTTGTTGTTTTTACACAATAAGCAGCAATATTCCAGCTATATCACAGTTCGCTTGTGAATAATCAAATCATGACAAGATAACCCAGTGATTGATTGCATGAACAACGATCCACGCCATCAGGGTATGTTGAAACGCCATCAACTAAGTCGCCAAGCCTGCCTGCCCAATCCTTTACGACGAGCATAGGTTGCTGGGGACCTATTCTAACCTGGAATCCCCATAGGTTTTCAATATATATATGGAGAATAAGGCAAATACTATCCTGATGAGAACATGGTGCAGGCTTTTAATTATAACAAACATATTTGAATTTCTTAATCATGTAATTATATTGATTATTAGACAGATGTGCAAAGTGAACCAACCTTGATAGTAGATGTACTTGGAAGATTAAGATGTTCTTTGGCGCCGTCCGGGAATCGGATCAAAAGATTCATCTCTGGACCTAAATGACATACACAGATGGATTACACTTTCTTGTGCTTTGTGATTTCTGTAAAAACATGTTGAAATAGGCACCAGTCCTAATGGTTGGTTGGTTGGTTGGTTGGTTTGTTTGTTGTTTAACGCCGCACTCAGCAATATTTCAGCTATATGATGGCGGTACCAGTCCTAATGAGCATAATACAACTTCAAAGTTTCATAGAGAGATAAAGTAAGGCTTCTCATCAGAAAACACCCTTCCCCATTTGAACTTGCTTTAAAAATATAAAAATTCCAAAACATCAAAGGCACCAGTTTGGCACTTGCCTGATGTGTATACAAAGTTTCACAATTTCTGTTCTTTATATGAACTGTACTCATCTGTACATTATTAATTGTCAATGGTGATTTTCAAAACTGAAAACATATTCATCACATAATGATGTATTCATATCTAATTTTCAAGACATTGGCGGTATTGTGCACAATGTTTAGAAGATCAAACAAGGGCCATAACTCTGTAAAACATAAAATTTCAAAAATGTTTTTGTACTCAATCCACATACTTATCGCTTAATGATGTCTGCATATTAACATCCTTCTCTCCTTTGTGGTTTCCAAGAAAATCTGTCACATTTTTGTGAACAGTGCAGAACACATCAACACAGACCAGTGTTGTCACACCTGACTATTTCTATGAACAGATGCTTTTCACACTTCCTCACAATGATTTGTTTGTTGTTTAACACCGCACAGCAGTCTGTAAATAATTGAGTCTGGACCAGACAATCCCGTGATTTAAATCATGAGCATCGATCTACGCAATTGGGATATGATGACATGCTTCAACCAAGTCAGTGAGCCTGACCACATGATCCCATTAATCGCCTCTTACGACAAGCATCGTAGCCTTTTACAGCAAGCATGGGTTGCTGAAGACCCATTCTTCCCAATTTATAATGTGCCATTCCAATCACCAAGTGAATTTTCATGGTGCTACAATATTATTACCCTTGTCTTTGGATCAGTGTGAACTCAAATTCATTCTCAGCTCCCTGGGGAGTATACAGCCCATAAGAGGCATGACCATGATCACAAACAGACGCTGCCTCTTTTCCAATTCACTACCCACCTGCAGGCTCATCATCCTTCTCCTCTGCTTCCTCCAGCTCCTGATGCCCGTTGACGCTCTTGTCCTGCCCCTCCTTTCCCTTGGAGCAGTCCCCCCCTGCCACCTTGTCCAGGTGAGCTACACACCCCTCCCCACCACTACCATCACTCACACTCCCCTGTACACCCTTACTGGTGCCAGGCAAGGATTTAGTGTTCACATTGTTCACGCTCTTGGAGTCTTTGGTGTGTTCTTTGGAACTATTATTTTTATGGCACTTTGATGTGCTTGGCATTTCACTTCGACTGTCTTCCTCGTTTGAGTCAGAGAATGTCTCCATGTCATCAGATTGTGCTTCTGAGTCTGTGTCAACGAAAATACATGAATCCTCTTGCGGTGACGCCTCTTGTTTCAGCGAGGCCTCAATGGCTGCCTTCAACTGATCTTCCTCGCTGGCATCAACTATACTTGGTTCCTAGTTAAACACATCAACACAAGTTTGCATTAGTTTCTGAGCACCCATTTCCAATAAGCGAGTGAGTATGGTTTTACGCCGCTTTTAGCAATATTCCAGCAATATCACGGCGGGGGACACCAGAAATGGGCTTCACACATTAAACCCATGTCGGGAATCGAACCCGGGTCTTTGGCGTGACAAGCGAACGCTTTAACTACCAGGCTACCTGACCGCCCCCATTTCCTATAAGAGCATCTGACCAACTTCTGGACCAGTCAGTAAATAATCTATATAAGCCTCCTTGTATCGGGCCGAACATTTACAGGACAGCCCACGTAATCATGTGAATGAAAAAAACAGCAGTGTAGGATGGGACCCATTTCGCCATCTTAGATGAGGCAGGTTTGAATGTTTTGAGACTGGTTTGAATGACAAATTGACATGCATTAAAAATCCAATCAAATACAATGCTGTTCAGAGTGATAAACAAGCAGCGCTATCCTCAGTACCCATGACTTTAGCATGTCATTGCAAATAGACCTGGAACATCCTTTAGCATAAGAACCCCTGTCCCAGGTCTCAGTACCAAGAAATACACCTTTCCTACTAAAAAATCAGCCGAGTGAGTGAGTGAGTGAGTGAGTGAGTGAGTGAGTGAGTGAGTGAGTGAATGAGAGAGAGTGATTTTCACAGCTTTTAGCAATATTCCAGCAATATCCTGGCAGGGGACACCAGAAATGGGTTTCATACATTAACCCATGAGGGGAACCGATCCAGGGTTGTTGGCGTAATGTGCAAATGCTTTAACCACAAGGATACCCCATAACACTATTAAGTGGGAACATTTACACAGGGCTTTCAGAAGTCCCTATACCGCACCCATGTCAGGGACAGAAATGAGCACTAGCCCGCTAGACCTAACCTGAGTGAGTGAGTGAGTGAGTGAGTGAGTGAGTGAGTGAGTGAGTGAGTCAACAAGAAGCTGGTATCGTTGTCATGGATACATGGTCAAAATAGCACTGGAAATCTGTGCGAAACATAAAGGACACTCTAGGGTGGTGAAGGTTGAAAGTGAGGTGCTTACCCTTTTCAGCCTTTTCGATGGCGGGCTGCTGTCGGCTGAATCAGGGTTTTGGTGGTTCAGCAGGAACTCACTGACTGAAACACAACAACACATCATCAGTGACATACAGCATCAATGACACACACAGCGACACACATCAGTGAAACATCATCAGTGAGACACAGCATCAATGACACACACAGCGACACACATCAGTGAAACATCATCAGTGAGACACAGCATCAATGACACACACAGCGACACACATCAGTGAAACATCATCAGTGTTTGTATGTTTGTTGTTTAACGCAGCACTCAGCAATATTCCAGCTTTATGGAGGCGGTCTGTAAATAATTGAGTCTGGACCAGACAATCCAGTGATTGACATCATGAGCATCGATCCACGCAATTGGGATACGATGACATGCATCAACCAAGTCAGCGAGCGTGATCATCCGACCCTGTTGGTCGCCTCTTAGGACAAGCAGAGTCACCTTTTACAGCAAGCATGGGTTGCTGAAGACCTATTCTACCCCAGATCGTCACGGGTAGCAGACATCATCAATTAGATACAGCATCAATGACTCTGGCCATGTCTTTTGAGAACTCTGATTCTTCTGATTCCTACAATGTCCTAACTCCTTATAATTTGATGCAATCTTCATCACATTCATTGACACAGTAACTGTCCACCTAACAGAGAGTCAAAACTTATTTTATAACATTTGTTTGGTTCATGAATCATAACAGTGGTACACGATGGTTAAAGGCTCAAGTCTTTGACATGACGAGTTAACATTGTGACTATCCCACTGCCCTATTCAGCATGTGAACAAAGGGAGACAACATTACAAGAAAAGTAAATCTCTCAGTTCGCGCAGTCGTGAACCTCGTATAACTGTTCAAATTGTTTCCATGGGCTTTTTACTCACACATTGTGCGCATCGCTGAAGCTGACATTATCTTGGACCATTCAGCAAGGTTCTCTCCTGAAAAGACACACATATTACCTTTTCAGCAAACATTCAATACCTATTTCACATGACAATCACAGCTGTTCTTAGCTGTTCATGGTCTGAAATAAGAAACCATTGTGACTTGGCCCTCAACTTGCTCAAGGTATGCAGGCATCATCATCATCATCATCATCATCATCATCATCATCATCAGGGTTCGAAATTAACATTAGGAAGCAAAATTGAGAATAGTAGAAATAGTGAAGGTCTCGTGATATTTCCTTGTGGACTACCACTTTTTACCATTAGCTAGATGGCAACTCTGTAACAGATCATTAATGTGGACAAGTGAAAACCAAAATTTATTTCAAACCGTTGATAAATAATGTAGTTTGTTTGTTGTTCAACAGCTCACTCAGCTTTTTACAGCTATATGATGGCAGGCTGTAAAAATTCGAGCCTGGACCAGACAATCCAGTGATTGACATCATGAGCATCAACCATGCATTTGGGATATGATGACATGCATCAACAAAGTCAGTGAGCCTGACCACCCAATCCAATTAGTCGCCTTTTCCAGCAAGAACAGGATGCTGAAAACCTATTCTAACCCGGATCTTCACGGGTAGCAGACACAGTGAGTGAGTGAGTTCGGTTTAACACCACTTTTAACAGTATTCCAGTTATATCATGGTGTGTCAGCTTAATGTGGGAGGAAAACCCAAAGTGATGCAGGTCTCAGACATTTACCACTTTGATAAAACCCACGAGCACAGGATATGGTGCTGACAAACCTAGAAACATAATCAGGTCAAACAGGATTCGATCCCACAATAGGTTTCTAGCATGCCTTAGGCGACAGCAAAGTAATGTATCGACTCCTTCTGTTACCTGTGCGGGGGTCAACAATGGACACGTAGGGCCATTCGTTTATCTTGTAAAACTGCATGTATTTCTTGCCTTCCTCACTGTCATGGTAAACCTAGAAGACAAAACAAGGCATCACTAGTGCAAGTAAATATGTCCGAAACTTGAACATGTTCCATTTTGTCGTAGTGTGTGATATCTGACTGCATTTTGAAATCCCATTGACATCTCATAGACAGTACAAGTAAATATGTCCGAAACTTGAACTTGTTCCATTTTGTCGTAGTGTGGGATATCTGACTGCATATTGTTATCCTAAGGACATCTCATAGAGTTACTTCCCTTCGATAAAGGGCAAGAACTTCAGCAGCCAGACAAAGCACTGACAAAGACGAAAAATTATCTGTAACAATTGTCTTTCACCACAAGCTCAAGAATGAGACCTGTAAAGATCCGGGGTAGAAAAGGTCTCACAGCAACCGATGCTTGCCGTAAAAGGCGGCTATGCTTGTTGTAAGACGCTACTAACAGGACCTGGTACATCAGGCTTGCTGACTTGCTTGATGTGCATGTCATCGTATCCCAATTGCGTGGATCGATGCTCATGATATCAATCACTCGATTATTTACAGACCTTCGTTATATAGGTGAGTGTGAGTGAGTGAATATGGTTTTACGCCGCTTTTAGCAATATCCCATCAATATCACGGCGGGGGACACCAGAAATGGGATTCACACATTGTACCCATGTCGGGAATCGAACCCGGGTCTTCGGCGTGAAGAGCAAACGCTTTAACCACTAGGCTACCCGACCGCCCCCGTTATATAGGTGGAATAGTGCTGAGTGCGGCATTAAACAACACACAAACTGAAGACTGAGTTGCCCTTCTCACCTGCCAGAATATGAAGTGCTGTTTGATGAGATTCCTGATGTGGGGGCAGCTCCAGATGTCTCGGTTGAGGACCTGACAGGGGAACTCCTGGACATTCTGGACATTGACCAACAGCCACTTGTTCTGGCGCGTGCCGGTGTCTCGGGCCTGCAATACACAGGAAGGGATAGATCATTTGATTCAGGTTGGTTGGTTGGTTGGTTGGTTGTTTAACGCCGCACTCAGCAATATTCCAGCTATATGACGGCGGTCTGTAAATAATCGAGTCTGGACCAGACAATCCAGTGATTAATATCATGAGCATTGATCCACGCAATTGGGATCGATGACATGCATGAACCAAGTCAGCGAGCCTGACAACCTGATCCCATTATTCGCCTTTTACGACAAGCATAGTCGCTTTTTACGGCATAAAACCACACTCACTCACTCACATCTTTTCCGTTTCGGAATCGAGTTGGTTGGTTGGTGGGTGGTTGTGAGTGAGTGTTTTTCAGCAACATTCCAGCAAGATGCCACTTCACTGTGTTATGTCTACGTACCCCACGAAGGTTTGGATCGTTGCTCATTATATCAATCACTGGATTCTCTGGTTCAGACTCGATTATTTACAGACCCATCCTATAGCCGATATATATCACTGAGTTTGACGTTTAACAACAAACACACACACACTTCTACATGACTAAGTATCACCAGTCTAAATGGAAACTGTGATTCCTGAACAAATTATTATCTGCTCAAATCATGATTTATTATGTTATACTGCACAATGATGGAAGTATACTTACATTCTGGAATGTTCCCTTGTATGTGAGATCGATGGGAGGTCGGAACAGATCCTCCAGCGTCCTCTGCTTGTTCCCTCCCCCACCCCCTCCTCCCTCTACTCCACTCTGAGTACTAGCCAGTCTCTGTTCTTGTTGACCTGCAAGTATACAGAGCATGTTCTCGTGTACCTTGTGTACAGTCTACTCTGCCTAATCCAACACTGCCTTGGAAAAAATAGTGCCAGAGCACTGTAGCTCACCTTGATATGTTATCGACAGATAAATATGTCAACAAATGACAGCCACTTGAAAAAGTTGCTGTCAGCATTGCTTTTCACAAGTAAACAAAACAAAACAAGTTAGGGACCATGAATATTTCTGTGGTTATTTTTATGAAATTGGGTGATCAGTCTTCACCATGAAAAGTGAGTGAGTGAGTGAGTGAGTGAGTGAGTGAGTGAGTGAGTGAGTGAGTGAGTGAGTGAGTGAGTGAGTGAGTGAGTGAGTGAGTGAGTGATAAATGCCTATCAAAGACTTAATGCTGCTATAATTATGATAAGGAAGACCTGGCTCTAAACATTGCCAGAAGAACTTTTGATAACATTATCATTAACATTATTATTAAAAAGGATCTGAAGCCACTATGCAAAGAACTCATCATCATGATTATGTGAATGGCTGCTTGTACTTACGTGCTTCAGCTTGGAAATCTCTGAAACCGTCGAACACAGATCTGGTTTGTCTTCGTCTTGGTCGAAAGCCTGGTGAAAGAAAACTAATTTGGTTGCTCGGTATGGTAGATCTTAGATGAACTAGGTAAAACCTAGAGATTTGATTTCCTGATGCTTACTGCTTACCTAAGGTTGTGAAATATTAAAACACTGGGTACTAGTTACTAACAACAGATTTGACAACAACTCTGTGAATATGATTGTGCCATCTCATAACATCATGGACTCAAGAACACAAAAAACAATGTACAGGTACCACGCACAACATCATGCAATAAAGGCACTCAGGACGAGGAGGCATACATAACTGTGACAGCATACATAAGTCCTGATTGCATTGCCTTCTCATAAGAATAAATAAACTGCAAGTGAGTCTGTGCAATTCAGGGCTCGATTTAACTACATCAACATGCCCAAGTGCAACCTGGTATCGAAAAATGCATCCTAGTAAATATTTATGTCAAAAGTTTCAAATTTGTGTCTGACTAACCCAGGATTTTATGTTTCACAAATGTGTGTCCTGTATTCACAAATGAAGAGAATGGACACAGAAAAAAAGAATATACTGTGTCCCTTGAAAAAGAATATATGTGTCCCTTGGGACGCACAATTGTATTCATTGTATCTACAGCGCAACAAGAGCAGTCATGGGTACTGTTATATCATCCAACAATAGTCGTAGTGCTAAGATCATTTTGTGCAAGTGGGCCCAGAGTTTTTATACACATAGAAGGATGTTTAACATGTTTAATAGTATAAAAGACAGAACATTTCTTTATCTTAATCAGATGTTTTTAATTATCTCCATGGTTACCTAGGTTAGCTGCTTCCTCCACCAACACTTCCCTCCTCTGTGGGATAGGTGCCCTTACTGCATCGCTGAAAATACACAAATACAGTTTGATGTGGCTGACCATCTCTTATTTAGTGAGTGAGTATTGTTTTACGCCACTTTAAGCAATATTCCAGCAATATCATGGCGGGGGACACCAGAAATGGGCTTCACACATTGTACCCTGGTCGGGAATCGAACCCAGGTCGTGACAAGCAAATGCATTAACCACTAGGCTACCCAGTTTTATTACAAAATAGATCAATCAAATTGTCCCTACTGGGTGCTGCCATTTCGTTTAAATCAACAGATCAAAGGCAAGTGATATCTCAATATGAGAGGTGAAATATGATTGGTCAATAGAGGGGGAACAAAGAAGGGACATAACTCGTCATAGCTACTGGTGGCACAACAATCGAGCCACAAAATTCTGGCTTAGTTTGGCAAGGGTGGAAACTGGACTTTTAGTCAGTTAACTCCCTTGCATCGGGAAGATGTGTAAACCAGGCTTATGCTTTTATGAGACACATATGTAAGCAGATTTATCATCCAAAACTGGCTCCCACAGGAAATATCACTTGGATGAAATCAAGTGATATTTACACTGTAGATATCGCTGCAATCAAATTTCATCACAATGCTTTACAGACCATTGTGATGTCACTGGTTATGATGATGTCACAATCAAATGACATCACTAATGGCCCTGCTACTGAAGCTGTTAGCAGTACTTTTAACACTGAAGACACTGCTAATCACTGTCTATAAAGTGAAAAAGTTGGAAGAATGATGTTGGATGATAAATAAAATCTCACCCTCATGTCTTTTGATATCAAATATATCAACCCGAGTTGATAAAAGTGGAAAATTTCCAAGGCTTGCCGAGGACTTTCACCATTTTTATCAACTTGTGTTGATATATTTGATATCAAAAGACACTAGGGTGAGATTCTCTATATAAACATCAACATGATCAATGCTTTAGTTTTTGTATATACCACATCCCTCCAATTTTCCTCCATGAGTTGCTGGCTGAACCTACCTGTCGCTGACATCCGCACTAGCACCTGCAGTAGAACTGTGTCCCAGACTGTCGTCAGGGTAGAGAGGGCAGGGAGCGGCCGGAGCTGCTTCACAAGACCCGTCCATGTGCATCCCAATAGCCATCTCCAGGTTCCCACAACATACTCGAAGCAGCTCTTTGGCAGCCTCAGATGACGACCCTATGTGCAGTGTTAAGTTAATAAATAGCTTTACATGTCAAATAACACAATGAGTGAGTGGGTATGGTTTTACGCCGCTTTTTTAGCAATATTCCAGCAATATCATGGCAGGGTACACCAGAACTGGGCTTCACACATTGTACTCATGTGGGGAATCGAACCGGGGTTTTCGGCGTGATGAGCTAACGTTTTAACCACTAGGCTACCCGACCGCCCCAAATAGCACAATGAAATAATTATTAGATTTTCACCCAAAATGACCCAAAATGTGAGGCAGTGGGAATGTTATCCATGTTCTACTCAAAAGAAAAGACCCAATTCTTTCCTATTACTATAGTTAATCTGTCAAGGAATATGAAAGAATCAGACGTTCTTTAATTTCTTTTGAGTTATTTATATATATAGAGATAAAATACAAAAGTCCAAAGATGAGCTGAATAATTTACTCAACCGGTTTCACGCATGTGATTTTCAAGAGTACAGTTATAGTGTTACGCTGTTTTGAAGTCACATAGTATGACATCACAGTGCAATCTAACTTTGTGACGTCACAATAAGACAGGCGTAAGACGATAGGGCAGGCGTATGACACATACAGAAATAAGTATTGTAGTGGCAGTAAATGTACAATACATGTAATTGTATAAAATTATTCAATTATTTCAGGCCATTTAATTTTGGTTTGAAAGTATTAATAAAATAACTTTCTTTTATCTTTCTCAGTGCATCGTTGTCACATTTGTAAAACGGAAATATCACAAAATTTGGTGTTTTATTCCCAACACACTGATGAATGTGTTGACTGAGTGGGATACACCGACAAGAGGGGTCCCTTATTTGTTGTCCGTGGACCCTCACTCTCGCTCTTAGGGTGTCCCCTGTCTGTCCAATGTATTCGGCCTTGCATCCAGCACATTGTATGACATAAATCAAGTTTTTTGAAGCACAGTTCATATTTTCACGGACATTGAGATTTTTTCCATCTTTGAATGTAAAAGAACAACATTGTAAAACATAAGGGCAAGTACCACAATTTGGTTTGTTACACTTTCGTACTGTTTTACATTCTTGTTTTCCATTTGAGAAAGAAGCCCTAGTAAATATCTGTTTCAGATTTTGGCTCTGTCTTTTACTTTTAATAAGTTTATTTTGTCATATTTTTTGTTTTACCCCATAGTTCTTTACACTTATTTAAGGAATACAGTGTTTCCCGAACACTTCCAAATATTTCCGGGTTTGGGGGATTAAAGGTTGTAACAAAAGGGAGAACACTCTCGTTAGGTTTATCTTTAGGTTTTAAAAGATCACAACGGTTTTGTGATTTAGCCTTGTTTATTGCGTCTTCCACTATTTTTCTAGGGTAGTTTCTTTCTAATAGTGACTCCCTCAGTTTATCGAGTCTATATTGTGCATGATCTGAACTAGTGAGTGAGTGAGTGAGTGAGTTTGGTTTAACGCCGCTTTTAACAGTATTCCAGTCATGTCGCGGCGTGTCAGCTTAATGTGGGAGGAAAGCCCGAAGTGATGCAGGTCTCAGACGTTTACCACTTCGGTGAAACCCACGAGCACGGGTATGGTGCTGACAAACCTAGAAACATAATCGGGGCGAACCGGGATTCGAACCCACTATCATAGGTTTCTGGCGTGCCCAAGGGACGCAACTCTGCACAGCGAATCGCGGTGCCTTAGACGACTGGGCCACCCGTGCCCCCTGATCTGAACTTGATACTATCGTGCAGATTCTACGTGCTAATGAGTAGGGGACACTTTTTTAGTATGACGGGGGTGACAGGAATTTTAATTGAGGTATTGCTTGGAATTGGTTGGTTTGTAATATACATCTGTTTCAATGTTATTGTTTGAAATTGTAACCATTACATCTAGAAAAGATAGATTGTTATCGCTCATCTCTAAAGTAAAGATTAAACTTGGATGGAGTGTTTGTAAAATATCTATCAAACACTGTAGATCGTTTTCTAAACCATTTACACTTTGTGTACATTAACTGTTGACAAGACTGTTTGATGTATAAAACACTGCACTCAGCAATATTCCAGCTATATGACGGCAGTCTGTAAATAATTGAGTCTGGACCAGACAATCCAACGATTGACATTATGAGCATCGATCCACACAATTGGGATACGATGACATGCATCAACCAAGTCAGCGGGTCTGACCACCCGATCCCGTTAGCCGCCTCTTACGACAAGCATAGTCGCCTTTGACGGCAAGCATGGGTTGCTGGAGACTTATTCTACCCCGGGTCTTCACGGGTCTCATTGACATTGATTATATCCTTTTCAACTTCAAATCTGCAGGTTTAACTTGGAGATCATACTATGCATTACATGGCTACATGGTCACCACTCTCCATGTGTTTGTCCAGCTTAATTTCACAAGTGCATTTATCACAGGTCACATATACATGATATAATCAACAACGTTAAAAGCTATTTTTTAAAAATAATATGATGTCCATGTAACAGGACACATATGTTAACGATGCCATTGTGATTTCAACCATGTCATTGGCACTCTCATACAAGGAATTACTAAAAAATGCATAATTAATTTATTATGGACGTATTTGGTTGTATGTGTACAACTCTATACAGTAACCATGGTAAGTCATCAGTCCAATATGAGTACGTACATCCATTAGCATGGAAATTGAATTGAAAACATGAAAGGGAACATCTGTTTTTTAACACAATTGTGGTAATTGTTCGATTGAACACATGTTTAACTATCAAGCCTAAATAATTTTACTTGCCTTATGAATTTTTATAGGAAAATACCTGTCAGTAGGTGAGGGAATAAAAACAAAAGGCAATTCAAATTGTTTTCAGTTTTATCCCCCATGGCAGGTAATCTAGTATAACAAAAAAGAAACTTGTTTAATTAAGTAGGGCCTGCAACACAGCTGTTGCTTTAAGCAATGCAAACCTGACGAATCAAGCAGGAATACTGCTTTGTATCCATGTATCCTATCAACATGATCAATTTCAGGAAAATCAAATTTTATTTAGACTCCCATCATTAATACATATCAACTTCAGTGGGTCCTTGATTAGAAAATATTTTTCTGGTGCAATATGCAATCAGAGTATCAGTGGGATAAAAAAAAGGAGCAAATTCTGATTTTTTTAAAACTTTTCGTTTGAACAAAATTTACAGTTGGCAGATCCGTAAAGTAAAAAAATGTGTGGCCTTAACCAGGTGATAAAACTCAGCTGATGGGCAAGGTGTTTGCTGAGTCAGCAATCAGGCAATAGCAACTAACAGTTTTAGTCCACTAGTCCTTATATTGTGGCAAATTTCTACAAGACCTTAGGATACCTTACCAGAGTTTACATTGATCATTTCATTTACCTTTTTTTTGGCTTCAGTAATATGAACATGATGAAAAGAGAAATCACTAAATCAGTATTCATTTCATGAAAAACTTAGTGACACATATTTCTATATATAAACATGATGAAATGTTCTTCAGAAGTTACAGTGATGTAAAACAAAGCACAATAGGCCTGGTCCTACTATCACTATCAATGAAATAAAGTCAGCTTTACAACCATAACATTTGTTACAATTGTATTAATATGAATTGGGAATCCAACCTTAATCCAGTCAAACAGCAAATAGCTCCGCTTATTAGCATTGAGTAGAGCACTTCCATATAAACAATAAACAATGCTTTCCTGAACATTTGCTGAAAACAACACACAGTTTATATGTTTACTCCGTTGACTGTCATTAAGGAAGTTCAAAGACAATAAAATATTTGAACCAACAACAGTTCACTGATTGGTATGCGGAGAAGGTGTCAACAAGCTTGACACGAGTGGGTAGAACTCTTGACCCCAGAAGTGATAACTCACCTGATGCCCATTGTGTAATTCCTATTCTTGGAATGACATTGTTATATACTTGTTACAACTGCTGCTCAATAAACCGTGTTTGTTTTTATATTCATGTTGGTATTTACGCTATCCAAAGTGTGCAGTGAGGCCGTCTCGTTGTTGATAGTCATTTTAGAGACAGAAATGCAAAGTTAATTAATGCGAGCAAAGACCACTCGCAATTTTCGCGTTTAATCCACGTTTGTGTTGATTTCGAAATTTACAGTACTTGTACCCAACTCTTGACACCTACAACAAGTACACAGGTAGGATTCGCTATAGTCTGTCATAAAGACCCTGAAACAAATATTTTAAAAAACAGCCCATGCAAGTCTATAATAGTGGGCAAGTCTAGATTACTGAACTTTCAGGCTCTGTTTTATTATATTTTATTAAGATAATTTAACAACTGTTTTTTCTCTGAAACATTTTCATTTCAGAGACTAGATGTTAGTCTAGGTCAGGTACCCCATAGTATAATTGATGACAAAAATTAAGTTGGCCAAGGCCATAGTGTGGATAATTTTGTTATTTGCTATGAAAACTGGATAAAACATGTCCTTTAGAATTACATTTGTAATCTGCATGGTACTTACTGGTGTCACTTTCAACAGTTTCAGTGGCTAATCAGCTGTTAATCCATAGACTTTATTCACTACAGAACTGGGTTTAACTTTGCATGTCAAGTTCTAAACACTCTTATGCCGTTTAAAATTAAGTTTACAAACAATATCCTCATAATATAAGGCCACAATCCACATCACGTATTGACAGTTTCGCTACCTTGAAAGCAAGCATGACAAGGTGTGTCTAAAGAAGGCTATCTAAAAAATCAACGCTACAACGAAAAGTAAATGACAATTTTGCAATGTCAAATGTCAAGGTAAAGTATCACTACGAATGTTCATTTCAATTATGGAATACATCTGAGTTACACACCTGTCACTGCACAAAACTGTTCTATCTTCGAGTCGTCAACAATGTTTTCGTCTTCCCTGGGTTCCGCCATTTTGATCAATCGGAACTCTTCGGTGAACTCCGCAGCCTGTATTGAAAACTCGCACAAGAGTGTTCCAAATGCATTTTCAACACAGAGTTAATTCCCTTGGTATCGTGCACGCCACAATGTGAATCGCTTGCACTTTTAAGTGAGATGTTGAGATTTAAATACTTATGTCACTGTTGAATGTCGCAAGACAGCGACATGTACATTCTAATGAATATGCATAACATAATCGATGACAAGGATGAATTGAATAAATGAATAAACAGAGAATATATGACAATTTACAGCTGTTTCTCGACTCTCTGAAAAATTTGGTCTGTCTCCCAGATACTAGAGAAATTATTTTAAAAAACAAATCCAACTACTGATTTGGCAGGTCTCAAATCAGAAATTACGCAAAGCTCTGGCCTAAATTTGGATTTTATCAATTTATTTTGTAGCTATATATAAAAAACTTTAGATGCGTTTACTTGATCTCTTGGACAAAATGTTAATGTGTGAACATTGCAGTCCAAAGCGTTAATTCAGGATTTCAAGGATTTATTGTCATAGGCCATGAGACCCAAAGTACATACATGTTTAATGTCAATTGACTCGCAGTGTGGGTATGAAAAATATAGAACATTAGTAGCATGCATAATTAGATGGAGTATAAGCACAGTTCATGTCTTATACGACATAAATGATAAGCGTAGTTTGCAATGTTCAACTTCATTTCATCAGTATGCATACTAAAATACAATCTCGCGGTTTAAAAATATGTTAGAATGTTCATACTTTGACAAGTATTAACTTTGTATTTGAGAGTACAGAGGACAACTGAAGATTACGGGCGCTTCATTTTCAAGCAGTTTACATAATTGACACAGTAAATGATCTTCCTTATCAGAAGAATTATTTCTTATGTATTTCTGGGACTATGTTTTTCATAACCAGTTCTAAGTTTTAACAATGCACTTCTATACTTAGAAATATTGACAAAATAGTTCTCACATCGAAAACTTGATTTTAATTGTGTATAATATCCTAAAGAGGGGTTTGAGACCATTGAGGAGTGCCAGTCTTGAAAATTACAACTCGTTGTTTAAATTATTGGATAAACAAATCTGAGTTCCCAACACCTTGTGTCATCAAGCATAGCCGAACCCATATTTGAAGAGCCTGGTCGGGGCATCGTGGCTATCTGAGAAGTACAAGTCTGCTCTACAAACACATTACAAAAGTTATAACTATATTAACATAAATTGGGAAATAAAACGTTTATGAAGACAAATATGGTATACGCCTGAAAGTTACCAGTTATTGAGCGATCAAACCACTTATGATGTTAAACGAATGATTTTATTTATGTTTGAAATGTGTTTTCTCTAAAACCATTGTGACATTGTTGCTAGTGTGTTATAAAACAACCAAATTTTCGATGTGAAGCTAAATATTAAACCAAACCCTCTTCAAATGTTTTCCCAAAGTTTATCATTTCATATCTTTGTTATTTACAATGAAACTCCCTCGTAACAGAATGGAGATATGACACACTGGATAATACTTTTTTGTTTTATATATTTATGATAATGTTTATATGTATGATGTATTTCTGGAGAGAGTCCAGTTGAAAGAAAATGTTCTTTTTCCCAAATCCAGATTGACTTGTGAATAAAATATGTTACAATCATTAATCATTTGAGACGATACTAGTATCTGGATAAGTGCGGTATAATAATAATAATAATAATAATAATAATAATAATAATAATAATGTTAACTGTAAGGATATACTGATCTGCTGAAAGTATGTACTTGACCCTAGTTACAATAGGTCTTCAGCAACCCATGCTTGTCGTAAGAGGCGACTAACGGGATCGGGTGGTCAGGCTCGCTGACTTGGTTGATGCATGTCATCTTATCCCAGTTGCGTGGATCGATGTTCATGATGTCAATCACTGGATTGTCTGCATCGTCCAGACTCGATTATGTTTCAGACCGCCGTCAAACAAACTGAAGGGTTTAATTATAATAAACAAATAATGAACGTGATGACCCGAGTGTATCCTTTATTATCGAGTAGGGGGCACGGGTGGCCCAGTCGTCTAAGGCGCCGCGATTCGCTGTACAGAGTTGCGTCCCTTGGGCGCGCCAGAAACCTATGATTGTGGGTTCTGATCCCGGTTCGCCCCGATACCGGTTCCATACCCGTGCTCGTGGGTTTCACCGAAGTGGTAAACGTCTGAGACCTGCATCACTTCGGGCTTTTCCTCCCACATTATGCTGACACGCCGTGATATAACTGGAATACTGTTAGGAGCGGCGTTTACCCAACTCACTCACTCACTCATTATTATCGAGTATATTATATCTCCATTTGCTTTTCATAGACACTGTGTGCACATCTACCTCTTGTGCTTTTTTCCCAATGAATGTTTCTAATTTATCTGATATCTTTTCAGAACGGGGATACAATACACTAATGGGCGTTAGTTGTCATTTGCTGAAAATGTCGATATCTATTTTTATTTCAAAGCAAATCGAACGGCACCATTTGCCACCACTCGCGTCTGTCCGTAACCTAACATTCGGTTTGTCCCGGAAAAGCACGAGTTGGTTGCGGTCACGAATCATTCGTCACCACTCGCCACTTTCCGTAACCTGCAATATTCGGCTTGTCCCGGAATAACACGAGGTGATCACGAATGGAATACGTACCTTTCGTAGCCAACTCGTGCCATTCCGGGACAGCCTCTACAGTAGGTTACGGAAAAATGCGAGTGGTAACGAATGGTGTACTGCTCACTGCAGGCTTCCCTCAGAGAAAGGCGGAAGTGTCAAAACTAGCGTTTCTGTGAACCTATTGGTATCGCGTTGGTAATCATAGCGCAACAATTCCAACGAATGACATAACAGTACTATATTGTTCCAGTTTCAAACATTTGGTGGCTGGAAAAATGTTTCGCGTCGGTCGATGTACTGCGTTGAGGCCGCTCTATTCCCTTCGAGGCTTCTCAACAGTTAATGCGGGTGAAAAGGAGGTCAGGCCAAAGCCGCTAAGCGCCATGCCGATGGTGAAGGGGTGGCCCGTTATAGGGACTATGCTAGAGTTCGTGAAAAACTATGAGGTTGCGCATGAGTTACTTCTCCAACGTCACAAGGACTTGGGGCCTATTTTTTTGGAGGATACAGGAGGATTTAAACAAATTTACATGATAGACCCAGCTGCACTGGAAAAACTGCGTCTTCAAGAAGGAAGATATCCGTTAAGGATAGGGTTTCCAGCTTGGGACGAATATAACAAGGATGCGGGGCGAGCTGATGGGCTTCTTACAGCGTAAGTAAAACATCTACCAAACGGTATATCATTGTGCTAGATTGATGGTAATACGGTCCCCACTAGCCCAAAAGATTAAATCAATATTCACGATATTCGTTCAAATTGTGACACAAGCACCAAAATTAGCATTGGTACTCATTTTGGACTACTTTTTAAAAAACAACAACGTAAGACACTTCAAATTTAAAAATGGCGTCCTGTTTCTACGATGACCGACGTTCCGATAAAAAAAATTACAATTTTTGCTATTAAATTTGACTGGATAGTCTGATTTGCAAAAAAAAAATTGATTTAAATGGTAGTTTTTCCGTCATGGAGAAGTCACATTTGCAAAATTATAACTTCCCTGAAGTGTCCTACTATCGTTTAGAGAAGAAACAGAGTGAATGTCAAGGGTACATTGGTTACATCACAACTGTGATAGGGTTCAGTGTCAGCTAAATAATCACTGCAGTGTAGTTTAATTAGTGTCCTAAATGTTATCTAACTTGCGCATCGACATGTGAAGACCGGGTTAGTATAGGTCTTCAGACACCCATGCTTGCTTGTCGTAATGGGGCCTTTACACAGGATTGCGACCTTTGTGCCTCCCGTGTGCGACCATGAAATTTGCCAGGTCGTCGTTCGAGGCTCAACGTAGGCAGAATGGTTGCCTAGGTCGTTCCAAGGTGGTACACGGGAGGTTCAGACATCGCGATGGACGCTATGGTCGCCGTGAATTATTGAACATGTTCAAAACAGTCGCACAAAGGTCGCCAAGGAGATTGGTTGCTCAAAGGTGGCTCAAAGGAGGCACAAGCATTGCCGTTGTTGCAGAATGAAGGCACAGTTGTCACCCAATGGTCGCCAGGTAGAAGATGCGTTCTGCTGCAAATGTATTCCGTTAATCTGGGCGATGCTTCTGCCTCCCATGTGCCTCCTTTGGGCGACCAACAGCGTGCACTGAACGACGACTGTAGCGACCGCCGTGCCTCCATTCGGCGACCACGGCAACCCTTGAGACACCATGGCAAGGCTTCTGCCTCTTTTCTGCCTCCTTTGAGCTACCTGTAGTGCCTCCTCAGCCTGCCTATAAATCGAGGGCTTGTACCTGCAGTGTTTTATTGTGGTTGCAGACGCTGAACAACTCGAGTAGTTGATGTTGAACAACTGCTGGAGCAGTTACACAGAAACATGATTTTCTGAGTTTAGGCGACCATTGAGCGTCCTGGCCAGTTTTTGATCGCTCAAAGGTGGTACAAAGGTCGCAACCCTGTGTAAAGGGGACTTAAGAGGCGACTAAGGGATCGGGCGGTCAGGCTCGCTGACTTGGTTGATGCATGTCATCGTATCCCAATTCCGTGGATCGATGCTCATGCTTTCAATCACTGGATTGACTGGTTCAGACTCAATTATTTACAGACCACAGTCATATAGCTGGAAAATTGAGTGCGGCGTTAAACAACAAACAAACAAACAAACAGGTTTTTCACCGCTATTTTGCCCTTTACGCTCAATGCAATCAATTTTAATCAGATTGAAATGGATTGGGAACATGTTATCCAACTTAGGACTCCCTCTCCATGGTATTTACAAAAGCTTGTACCGTAAATCATATACATGGAAAACAGAAAAGAAGATGAGTGTATAGATAACAAAAGAAATGTACAAAAGAGAGACTGGTATATGTACGGGTTATCAGGCTCGCTGAGTTGGTTGATGCATGTCATCGTATCCCAATTCCGTGGATCGATGCTCATGATGTCAATCACTGGATTGACTGGTTCAGACTCGATTATTTACAGACCGCCGTCATATAGCTGGACTATTGTTGAGTGCGGCGTTAAACAACAAACAAACAAACAATAAAGAGTTGACACCAGTGGTAACATTTGTACCTCCATGAATGCAAACAATATTGAAGGCAATTGCTTACCTGATTGCTCAAACAACTTGACTTTTAGTATGCCATGCCATATAATTCTATATATCATATAATATCGGCACTTTGCTTATCTCGAACAACTGGTTATTCGATATATTTAGATGGTCATCAGGATTTCGAATTAACTATGTTTCAGCTACAATCACCCGAATAAACCAATTTAGGAATAAACATACACGTTCAAAGAATAGTGTCACTGTTTAGACATGTACTGAATGTGTTTTATTGAACGTAAGAATTGTTTTAGCTCTGAGGCTGAAATTGTGTTGCCGATGCGACGTTAAAGGGCAAGTTCACACGGAAATGAACCTATTTTTCTTGTACTTTTTCCACATTAAAAGTGTTAACCTAGTAGTGTCATAGACAAAAATATAAAAATATCACAATTAATTAACATATGTTTTGCATTAAAACGATTTATATTTTTCACATTTACCAAGTGTTCTATTTTCATAACAAAAACACCATGGATTATGCCCCATGCAATATGACGTCATTGGTGCCAATTAATAAACATTATGACGTCATCATGCTATGTTAGAGCCGCTTCACGTGGTGTAGGTACAGCTGTGTGATTCTAGCGTCTCAGATGCCAGCCAGCATAGTGTTATGCTGAGTCACCACTGCGCCGGAGTGTGTCGTAGGCCATGTTGTTTTACCGAAAACTGGTACTTGATATCTTTTGCGTTGAGAATAGACAGGGATCCAGTTGAATTGGCACCAATTACGTCATAATCTAAGGGGGATAACTCAAGCCTGTTTAGCTCGAAAAACGAAGGCCTCATAACGGCATATCATTTTCACACTATTGTGAGCTTCCTACTTTCACTGTGAAAAAAATGAGTTTACATTTTCAAACACAGATATTAACTAATTCTGAAATTGCGTTTTGTTTAGAAAAAGAAAGAAAGTGATTTTAGCGTGTACACTTCCCCTTTAACATAATTATAGTCTCTGAAACCAACAGTATCGTACTCGTTCAGGAGACGGTGTTTCGAATAAACGGGGTCCAGACTAGCGAGGTTTCACTGTATATGGATAATCTTTTATGCAGGCAGGGGGAGTTGTGGTATCGACTGCGCAGCGTGATTGACAAGCCGTTGATGAAGTTCAAGACAGTCGAGAGTTATGGCGACCAGTTCAGCGCTGTCGCGGCCGATTTGCTTGACAGACTGGCAGCTCTCCGAGGACCAGACGGAGTCGTGGAACGCATCGACGTCGAACTCTTCAACTGGGCCTTAGAGTGTAAACACATTTGTCTTTTTCCACAGCCATGTGATTGTTTCGGCTATCGTATCCCCTCATTTGCCCACCCCTTTCCATCAGTTAATCACCTCCTTCAAACAGGCTTACTTTATTTCATCAATTTATTTCAAAATATACATCGCAACTAGATTCCAGATCGAGAACGAATCCCTTGCGGTTTCGTGGGGGCATCCATCTTGTCTAAAAACACTTCCGGTTTCTATTTGTGTAATGTTATATTGCATTGTTAAATCGTACTGTTATGTTCAAAGTCAAAAGTAACTGATCATGAATCAATTAATAACTATCAGGGATGTGAAATCTCCGCGGAAACGCGGAAAATCGCGTTTTTTTATAACAGTAGTCTTCGGAAAAAATCACCTTCCGCGTAAAAATATATAAATAAACACTCCCAAGAATATTATCGAAAACCGAACAACCGTCGCTGATCGATTGTCCTGTTTTCGATCAGAGCTTTCAGCATCATAGGTTTTCGGACATCATACGTTTTCAATCACGAACAGAACTATAACGTGGCGTCACACAGAAATTGTAAATACTCAGATGATGGCTTGTATTTCAGACAAAGTTGTCTTTTAACCTATACGTGAATGACATGTTTTACAGTTGTTCATGTTATGTAAACTATGAATGTTTCTTCAGCGTCCGAAAACCCATAACACGGGGATATATGTTGTATTAATGTCTTATGTTTGCAATGGAGTTTTGTTTTGTTTTTCAACAAAAGGTAAGTAAGTACAAGGTAGGTTTTTTTCAATATGCTTCAACATGGGTAAAGGGTCAGACATTGCACGCTGGTGAGTGAAGTTTATGGCAGTATTGCTCCCAGACCCGGCGGGTAGCCGGGTGCGCGGGAGCTATGCCCGATATTTTAAAAGTACTGATTTAACTTCGAAGTTTTACTGCATCCGCCATCTTTGTTTATTTGACTTATTGACTTTTGCCATTGACTTATTACATTTCTTGGTGTGAATGTTGTCCAAACTGCACGAAATTGCTTAAAATGCAATCAAATGTTTAAAAACTAGACTAGTCGTATGTACGTACAGCCTATCTTTGGACTTCTGTATTATATATAACACAATAAATATCCCTTTTGTTTCAAAATCTCCAAGGGGGCACGGGTCGCCCAGTCGTCTAAGGCGCCGCGATTCGCTGTGCAGAGTTGTGTCCCTTGGGCACGCCAGAAACCTATGATTGGTTCGAATCCCGGTTTGCCCCGATTATATTTCTAGGTTTGTCAGCACCATACCCGTGCTTATGGGTTTCACCGAGCTGGTAAACGTCTAAGACCCGCATCACTTCAGGCTTTCCTCCCACATTAAGCTGACACGCCGCGATATAACTGGAATACTGTTAAGAGCGGCGTTAAACCCAACTCACTCACTCACTCACTGTTATCTCCAATTAAAACATTTCACAAATAGCTGTCGAATTTAGAAATAAATAAAACGTCTACGGTGTCGATCTTCTGGCCAATTAAACACCAACAATGAACTTTAAGTCGAAAGAAAAAGAGAGGATAAGAAATAAAATATAATAATAATATTACGATTGATCTGCATTTGAGTTTAAATGGATGCTTTTGGTCGTGTATGCTGCAAATGTGTGTTCTCTGTTACAGGGGCCGCAGGCTGCCCTCTCCACCTACGGCAACGGAGACCGCCTCCGTGGTCTAGTGGCAGAGCGTCCGCCCGGAGAGCGGAAGGTCCGGGGTTCCCCGGCCGCGTCATACCAAAAGACGTTAAAAGGTGGTACTTGTTGTTACCCTGTCTGGCGCTCGGCATTAAGGGCTAAAACAAGGAATGCTCGGCTCGGAGTCTGTAGACTGTGTCTGAGATGCGGAATGGTATCTCAGTGGGTTAGCACTATAAATCGGCATCAGTCCAGACTAGTAGAAACAGCCACATACACAAACATACGTGCATTCACGTCGCTATTAAGTCCGTGTAATAATCTTTGACGCGACGTTAAAACCCCATTTCACCTCACCACCTTACCTAAGGCGCCGCAATTCGCTGTGCAGAGTTGAAATCTATGTTTGTGGGTTCGAATGCCGGTTCTCCCCGATTATGTTTCTGGGTTTGTTAGCACGATGCCCGTGCTCGTTGGTTTCACCAAAGTGGTAAACCTCTAAGACCTGGGCCCAATTGCACAAAGCGATCTTAGCGTTAAGACGATCGTAAGCCTATGTTAATGTGTGGGAGTTACGATCATCTTAGCCCCAAGATCGCTTTGTGCAAGTGAGCCCTGCACCAACTCGGGCTTTCCTCCCACGTCAAGCTGACACGCCGTGATATAACTGGAATACTGTTCAAAGCGGCTTTATAACCAACTCCCTTTCATTCTCTGTTACAGCTATTTGTACGGTCCTGTACGAGAAACGCATGGGCTGCTTGTCTGACAACCGAAGTGCAACCACCACCGAGTTCATTGAGGCAACTCATGCAATGGGTGAAACGACAAACAAACTTATATTCTTCCCTCCCAAATTCTCTAAAATGTTCAGGCGTAAAGATTGGAAAAGGTTTACTGGAAGCATGGACACTGTATTTCGCATCGGTAAGTTCTTTGGGTGTTTGAACTCAAGTGAGCTTAGTAGTAGTCCATCCATTTCCCTGCCTGTTACTCAACCATTTCCATACAAACTGTAATGAAATGTGGTATATGTGTTGTTCGTAGCTAGTGAGTTAAAAATTTAACGCTCATCGGCATTATTTCAGCAATATATATCGACGAGCGTTGTTTGTAGTGGAGATCACACCGTTTTGCGCGATATTTTAATATTAAACCACGAAACCAATCAAGCTGAAACGTCAAATTCTTGTTCCCATCCTCCCGAGGGAGTTGACTGAATATTAAAGTCCAGTTTCCATCCTAGCTGAACTTGGCTGGAATTTCGTGGCCTGATCGTAGCGCCACAAGTGGCTATTACGAGTTATGTCCCTTCTATGCCCCTCCTATTGACCAATCTCATATCACTTGCATTTGCTTCAAACAAGATGGCGGCGCCCAGTCAAGACGATGTGATCGATAGTCAAGATCTTTATTGTAATGAAACTGGTCTAACCTCGCGAAGTGCATCAAATCATTTGAGCACCTCGATTAAAAACATGAATACGCATGGAAAATATTTATTGACGCCCAGTTGACGGTACACATGCTCTCCATATCCTGCAGTCGACCCAAATCTGAAAGGTAGTCGCCATGTTGTTTATGAACAGGATGTCGATTTCGTCACGCGATTTTGATTGGACTAACCATAGACTCCTTAGTCCAGACAAAATATAACTCCATTATTCCAGCCTAGTTCGGCAAAGGTGGAAAATTGACTTTTATAGTCAGTTAACCCCCCTTGGACTGGCCCAACCAGAATATCTAATTATCAAATGGTCGGTCCCTCAGAACTCGATTTTCAATGGCCACCATGATAACCATTCTGAAAGAAACAACCTATTTATGGACTTTGTTCAGACATTTTTGCATGTGTACTTAGTAGTGGGGCTGTTTGTATATTCCGCTGTTTCGTGATGTGTAACATTTTGACCTTGATTTCACCTTCGTCCATAATGAAAGCTGAAACATCTCACGACTATTACTCGATCATTTTCTTTCCAAATGCTATGGAATTTGGTATATACATGTATGTAGTTAGTAGTGGGCCACGAGACATATGTTCAGCTTTTCACCATGTCAAGTCTAGACCTATATTTTACATTTACACTTTGACCATGCTTCTAAATCCTCTCAAATACATTTCCTCACACCGTTAACATCCCATTCCCAGACATCGCTTTGTCAATGAAGCTGAAAATTCCAATTTGTTCCCAACAATAATGATACCTGAATTTGTTCAAGCTGTTCGAATCCGATTTTTATATCTTCTCAAAATGTACTGTTACGCTCTTAAATTCTATCAAATTTCATTGCTCAGTAAGGATGTCTCTGATATTATATTTGATGAACTTTGGCATGTATGCTACTCTTATGATTCCGTCATAGTTTTGTTAAAATCATTTTAGGATTTTAGTGTTTTGGAAAACTTGTATGGCATTAACACAGTTACTATCTTTGGAAAACATATATCTGTTACCTGTAAGTACCCTCGCACGAAAAGCATAGGTCTCTAACATGTTCTAACCTGAAAGCCTCATGGGTGGGATTTGTAAGCACAAGAAGAATGCCGAAATGAAAAATAACGTCCGAACTGATTGTCACTGTTTTTCAGTATTGTCACTGGTCAAGGTTGAGAAAATAAGTATGGTTTGTATCCGTTTTACCATTTAATTATAAGGTAATTATGGTCTTTTAATGTTGCTCAACTTTTGTGTTACTCGACCGCTGCTACAAAACAGTTTGAGTGAGTATGGCCTTACCCATGTTGAGAATCGACGCTTGAAGTGAGGCCGCGAACGATTTAACCACTTGACTGCCTCTCCGCCCAAGAATTAAGTTGAAATCCTCATGTGACTGAGCCTAATGGAATGTGTTAATATGGTGAATCAACGCAAAGGGGTTTTTATTATTACCCCACCGCGATTATCCAGCATAAAATTACATCCCTGATCTGTGTAGTGCTTACCCGCGAAGATCCGAGTTAGAACTCGCCTTCCGCAAACCATCCTTGTCTTTGGAGGTGACTGTGCTTGTCGTAAGAGGCTACTATGCTTGTCGTAAGAGGCGACTGACGGGATCGGGTGTCCAGGCTCCCTGACATAGATTATGCATGTCCTCGTATCACAATGGCTCATTTGGCCCTATTTATAGACCGCCGTCATATAGCTGGAATATTTGCTGAGGAGGGCGTTAAACAACAAACAAACACAAACTGCGTAGTGCTGCAACTAAAGCTGAGTAAATAAGTGTTTGCTTGTTTGTCTGTTTGTTTCTTGTTTAACTCCGCACTCAGCAATATTCCAGCTATATGACGGCGGTCTGTAAATAATCAAGTCTGGACCAGACAATCCAGTGATTGACATCATGAGCATCGATCCACGCAATTGGGATACCATGACATGCATCAACCAAGTCAGCGACCCTAACCACCCGATCCCGTTAGTCGCCTTTTACGACAAGCATGGGTTGCTGAAGACCAGTTCTACCCCGGATCTTCACGGGTCGAGTATATAAGTAAGTGAGGTTTTACGCTGATTTTATTCCTGAAAGTTATCATGGCGGTTGACACCAAGAAGGGCCATCTACATCCGTGGTAGATCTAAAACGTCCACAGCCACATTAAACGCAACTCGCTTACTACATCCGTGTTATTAATACGTCATTTAATAGTTTGTTTACAAAATAGCAACCCTTCACATGTGTAATCATTCACACTGATTTGGGGTCTTGGCCTGCTACATACATCCGTTGTTGTATTTCACGACTTGCATCACTTTAGGCTTGCTCCGTGGCGGTGAAGTAGTCTAGTTGTTTCAGCATTCGTTCGTCATGCCGTTTACCCGGGTTCGATTCCCAACATTGTGAAGTTCATGTCTGGTGTCACCGCAATGAAATGGTTTGAATATAGCTAAAAGCGGCGTAAAATCATACTCACTCACTTCGGCTTGTTCACATACGACATGACTGAAATAATGTTCAAAGCGGCGAAAAACCTCCGTTCATTCACTCACCCCTTTGATGCCACTGTTCCAGCAAAGGAAAATATTGACCAAAAGTTGCAGGAGATAGTGGACAAGCCTGAAGATGAGGACGCAGGTTTCATCCAGCAATTGATGGCGAAGGGGGTGCTGTCCCCCAAGGAGATGTATGCCAATATTACACACGTCATGGCGGGCTCAGTTGACACCGTAAGCAGATTTAACTAATTCACCAATAGACTTGAATCAATTGTAGTCCCAGCGCCCTGGAAGTCCTTGAAAACATACATTCATTGTACCAATGCCCATGATGTCAAACACTGGATTGTCTGATCCAGACTCGGTTATTTACAGACCGCCGTCATATAGCTGGAATATTGCTGAGTGCAGCGTTAAACAACACACAAACAAACAAACAACAAAGAGTTGACACTGGTGTTAACGTTTATACCTCTATGAATGCAAACAATATTGAAGGCAATTGCTAACCCGACCCAAGTGCAGCGTTAAACAACAAACAAACAAACAAAAAACATTCTTAGTCTGCTTTAACTCATTTTGTATATACAACTGAAAAGAAGTTAAAGAACAACTGGAAGGCTGCAACAATACCCACCAGCAATGACATATTAAATATAATCATATGAAATAGCCAGATGTTTCTTAATTTCTTTTGATTAATATACAGTAGTATAATGCTGAGCACCAAGCATGGAAACAACAAGTACCATTTTTAAATGTATTGCTAGGACACGGCCAGGGATTCGAACCACCGATCTTCCGCTCTCCAGGCAAATGCTCAGTATGTGTACAATGGGGGCCGTTTACACCAAGCCACAAGGAAAATTCTATCTTGAAGAAACCACCATATTCCTCCATATATGAAATATGTTGGGAACAAGTATAACCTCAGAAAAGTAGTGCATTAAAAGAACTGAATTTATTCACTGTGACATGTCGAGAAAACAAATTTATAATGTAACATGGATTCTGTTTGCTCAAATGGGTTTAATCGTTTGCATTTTTGTCACCTGTAAATTCTGAAAAATTCTGATATTACAAGGTTATCATTTATGATTATAGACGACACACACAGTTCAGTTCCTGTTGTATGAAGTATCCAGGCAACCAGACATTCAAGGGAGACTACTGGAAGAAGTGACACGAGTTGTGCCCCCTGGTGTCAAACCAACGTCTTCACATTTGAGAGACATGCCGTACCTAAAGGCTGTTCTTAAGGAGACCTTACGGTGAGTAGTACATTTTATTTGTTGGGGCATGGTGTTTCCGTTTTCTGTTGGTTTGTTTTTCGATTATCAATCTGCCACTTTTTATAGAAATGAACTCGATGGTGAACTGGTGCCATCTGCTATTAAAGGCTTTTTGAATTCTGTTTTCCAATTTATTGAAACTAAAAGATTAGCTCGATATATCTAAATGTGTCAATTTAAAACCATGTGGGGTCCGATCATCAACGCACCAGTGAACATCTGTGTTAGAATTTAGAGGCGACTGACGGGATTGGGTGATCAGGCTCGATGACTTGATTGATGCACGTCATCGTATCCCAATGCGAAGATCGATACTCATGATATTAATCACTGGAATGTCTGGTCCAGATTTGTTACAGACCGCCGTCATATAGCTGGAATATTGCTGAGTGCGGCGTTAAACAACAAACAAACAAACAGATCCTCTACTAGTGACTTTTTGTTTTTTAATGATTTTTTTTTTTTAAATAAACTTTTTTTCAAAACACATTTGAGGGGATTTATTGCGACTTGTTTATTCATGGTTGCACAAAAATGAATATGAAGACTTTTCCTGTATCTGAATTTGTAAATGCATTTTAAATTTTGCAGTGTGAAAGGTAAAATGTTTGTCGGTTCACGGTTGTGGAGTAAATTGCATTCTTTCATCTAAACACTGGCATTTTTTCAACAAAGTATGTGAAAATCTGGACCTATTTATTTGCGAACAAACAAGGTTAATAGAAGGTCGCTCTCAATAAACTGTTTTAATGTCTGAGTGAAGACTAATTGTTTTGACGAGCTGCTGAGGAGCTTCTATATGTTGTACTTCAGTCTGTATCCAGCAGGCAGCGTTGTGATGAGGAACATGCCCAAGGACGATGTTGTCATGGGATACCACGTCCCAGCCGGGGTGAGGCCATCATCAGTTTGTTGTTAACGCCTGCCGAGCAATGGTTCTGTGAGTGATTAAGTGAGTGAGTTTGATTTTACGCCGTTTTGAGCAATATTCCAGCAATATCACGGCGGGGGACACCAGAAATGGGCTTCACACATTGTACCCATGTCAGGAATCGAACCTGGGTCTTCGGCGTGACGAGGGAACGTTTTAACCACTAGGCTACCCGACACCCGGCAATGGTTCGGCTGTATGGCGGCAGCCTGTAAATAATCGAATCTGGGCCAGACGAAGTTGAGATTGATATTATGAGCAATAAAACGTAAATTGTCACAGAAAATTCTTTAAAAAATAACTATACTTTTGACTGTTGAACAAGAAGGGAGATATAAGGTGTGTTTCTTTTTCAGCGTCTCCCAACCCCACCCACCCCGAATATCAAATGGGCTGTCCCTTATAAACGGTATAAGGGCCGTATAGTTTACACAGGTGTGGTGTCTCGTATTTTATTGGCCATAGTAAGGGCGTATAAATAGACACATGTAGTTGCGTCTTTTAGGTTATATAAAAGAAACCCTCCTTGCGACTTCATTTGCTAATATCTTTCCACAAAATGGCACACATTGGCATTTTATAAATCTATAAAGAAAATGAGGCGTTATACAAAAAACAAAATGAAACAAACACGTCCCATTTTAATTCTAGAAACCCATTTGTCTGGAAACTCTCCGCTCTATTTTCAAAATTCAACATGCTGTTTTCATGGGTATATACAAAGGATGAAAAAAAATCCCAGTTGTTTCGAAAACTCAAAGTTTAAACTATGTCGCTCAAAATCGTAGCAAATCTGGTCTATGGTTCATTATTGTTTTGTGTTGTCAGACAATGGTCAGTGTGCCGATCTATGCCCTGGGACGACAGGCATCCTTGTACGATGACCCTTTGACCTTCAAGCCGGACCGCTGGATGAGGGACAATTTGGAGGAGAGACAGAAACGCAACCCTTACACATACCTGTCGTTCGGCTTCGGGCCTAGGATGTGTGTTGGTAAGCTTACAGCCAGAAATTTGAATTACACCCTCCATTTTACAGCCAGATATTTGAATAACACCCTCCATTTTGAACGGGATATAAAAATGGCGGCAATTTGCATGACATACATGCAGGTTAAATAAATACAATTAGGTCCACAGATATGTAGTGAGTGAGTGAGTATGGTTTTACGCCGCTTTTAGCAATATTCCAGCAATATCACGGCGGGGGACACCAGAAATGAGTTTCACACATTGTACCCATGTCGGGAATCGAAACCGGGTCTTAGGCGTGACGAGCGAACGCTTAAATCACTAGGCTACCCGACCGCCCCACCACAGATATGTAATGTTTACTATTTCTTATACATGACTTAAAACATATACTTTACGATATACTGTTACTATATCTATCAATTCTGTGTAATTTCTAGGCCAAGTTGACTCTAGAATTGAGCAAAATATACACTGAAATTCGACATTATCTTCACAACATAAAATGAGAATGATTTTGCTCATAATAACATATATTTTCTAAATTAGATCAATTCTCATTCAAAACTGAAGGACATGTTGAAGTGAGGAAACTCTTCTCTGTTCTCAAGTAGCTGTGGGCCAGAAAGAGGTTTACCCTTAAGACGTATTGAACGAAATGCAACATGTATATTCTAAGCGATTGAACAAGCGTTGCATTACATTTTCACGAATAATTTAAAAAATATGATTTCCCCTCATTTTAGAGAAATATGGAACCATTAAAGCCAAATTAATTTCAAATGCCATTATTGTCGTTTTACTTTGGTACGTTTCAAGAGGTAATAAACGACTAGAATATAGAGGCCCACAGCAGTGAACCACTCCAGTTTGGTAGACTTCATCTTGATCCTGATCTGGAAAGCACATGTACCGAGTTCGGAATTACGTCTACATTCCACATACAATACACAGCCATGTTACCAATGAGGATCAATCCAGTGTCATGGTCAAAGTATACAAAAACTCATGTATTATCTGTTCACACAACTCCGACACATGCCCTGTGCTAAGATATACACGTGTATTATCTGTTCACACAACTCTGACAAATGCCCTGTGCTAAGATATACACGTGTATTATCTGTTCACACAACTCCGACACATGCCCTGTGCTAAGATATACTCCTGTATTATCTGTTCACACAACTCCGACACATGCCCTATGCTAAGATATGCACGTGTATTATCTGTTCACACAACTCGGTCACATGCCCTGTGCTAAGATATACTCCTGTATTATCTGTTCACACAACTCCGACACATGCCCTATGCTAAGATATGCACGTGTATTATCTGTTCACACAACTCGGTCACATGCCCTGTGCTAAGATATACTCGTGTATTATCTGTTCACACAACTCCGACACATGTTCTATGCGAAGATATACACGTGTATTATCTATTCACACAACTCCGACACATGCTCTATGCTAAGTTATACACGTGTATTATCTGTTCACACAACTCCGACACATGTTCTATGCTAAGATATACACGTGTATTATCTGTTCACACAACTCTGACAAATGCCCTGTGCTAAGATATACACGTGTATTATCTGTTCACACAACTCCGACACATGCCCTGTGCTAAGATATACTCCTGTATTATCTGTTCACACAACTCCGACACATGCCCTATGCTAAGATATGCACGTGTATTATCTGTTCACACAACTCGGTCACATGCCCTGTGCTAAGATATACTCGTGTATTATCTGTTCACACAACTCCGACACATGTTCTATGCTAAGATATACACGTGTATTATCTATTCACACAACTCCGACACATGCTCTATGCTAAGTTATACACGTGTATTATCTGTTCACACAACTCCGACACATGTTCTATGCTAAGATATACACGTGTTTTATCTATTCACACAACTCCGACACATGCTCTATGCTAAGATATACACGTGTATTAGCTGTTCACACAACTCCGACACATGCCCTATGCTAAGATATACACGTGTATTATCTGTTCACACAACTCCGACACATGCCCTATGCTAAGGTATACACGTGTATTATCTGTTCACACAACTCCGACATATGCCCTATGCTAAGATATACACGTGTATTATCTGTTCACACAACTCCGACACATGCCCTATGCTAAGATATACACGTGTATTAGCTGTTCACACAACTCCGACACATGCCCTGTGCTAAGATATACAGTGTATTATATGTTCACACAACTCCGACACATTCCCTGGCCTAAGATATACAGTGTGTTATCTGTTCACACAACTCCGACACATGCCCTACACTTAGACATACACTTGTATTATTTGTTCACGCAGCTTGTTAAGATTGTAAATGTTTTCCAGGGCGCCGTGTTGCTGAAATGGAGATACAGACACTCGTGTCACACGTGAGTTATCTCCCCTTCTCTAGCTTACCATAACTGAATGTTCAACTGAGCTTATGTCGTTGGGCGTTTTCGGCATCTAATTTCTCTTCAGAATCAGAAGTTGATCGTCCGCCGTTGTCTGAACGTTTTAGGCATATAAAGCTAATATATTTTAAAGAATAGTATATGTTGTGCTTTTCCTATGGAATACATGTCTGACTCATACCTTCACCATTTGTGTAGATCATCCAACGGTTTGAAATCGAGCCAGCAGACGACAAACCAATCGAAGTCCGTGCAAAACTGTTCCTACTACCAAAGGATCCAGTGAGGATCAGATTTATAGACAGGAAGTGACGTCATCTAATGGCTGACACATTTGTCCCTTTACCTGTTTCTGCTATCATATATTCAGTGTGGAACAGATTGATTACATCGCTTGAACATATTGAGATTCACATTATTTAAGTGATGGCCTTCGTTGGTATACGTTTCTGATGAACTTAGTGATGGGTCCATGAATCAATCCGATATGATTTTGAATATGGACCCCGTACTGGAAAACCCATTTCCTTCAACAAGACATCAATTTTTCAGATATTGAAATTTGATATGCGAGTAGTATGATAAAGTGTCGTTTTCCGGTACTGGAATACTAATTTACTTCTTTTGCATTGGCATGCTGGCTAAAAACTGAATCAAGACGTCAAAATATGCTTCTGTTCACCTAGCAGCGAATGGGCCCCGTAAGGATGATATGGTAATGTGACGGTTACCCTTATTTCTCTTAGGCAGCTTGGTTCGTATACTCCCCAAGGAGCTGAGAATGACATCTGAGAAAACACTGATCAATTAACAGGGTAATATTGATAAAGCGCTCAAAGTTACAGGAAGGCATGGAACAATTTTAATATTATAGAAATATTCTTTTTATTATTATTGTTAATATTATTGTTGTTGTCATTATTATTATTATTATTATTATTATAAGGATCATGGTATATCTTGGCTGAAGGCTGGTCCGCATGTCATGATGGTTATCAAATGTTTCATGTGAATTATAATTAGATTTTTGTCTTAGCAACATTTAATACATGCACTTGAAATGTTCACAGCAGCACTCAAAGCACAGGCAAAGCTTTTTATACTGTCCAAAGCTGCGTTAAAAGTAGCTCACTCACTCACTCACTTCATACTAAGATCTTACGGTTTTCCTTAGCTTCAGAATATTACATGTTCAATGGACTAAGAGAGACCGTATCCTTCCTCGTCTTTTGTTCAAAACCAATTTCACTTCACCCACCATCTGTCTCTCAATCTTTGTGTTCCAGGTTGTACGTGTTATTTGCTGAAATATTTGTAAACATCGCTTTGTTGTTGTATTAAGAGACAGCGTTTCCCATCTTAAAACCAATTTCACTTCACCCACCATCTGTCTCTCAATCTGTGTGTTTTAGGTTGTACGTGTTATTTGCTGAAATATTTGTAAACATTGCTTTGTTGTTGTATTAAGAGACAGCGTTTCCCATCTTAAAACCAATTTCACTTCACCCACCACCTGTCTCTCAATCTGTGTGTTTTAGGTTGTACGTGTTATTTGCTGAAATATTTGTAAACATCGCTTTGTTGTTGTATTAAGAGACAGAGTTCCCCATCATAACAAATATGATAGATGGCATGACATGTTCGAAATAAACAATGATGACAACAGGTAGGTAATTTTATTTTGTTCAACACTAACAAGAACACTTCATTTTGATGCGAAGCGCCTGAATCAATGTGGTATGATGAAGAGACAATATTTATGTTCCAAATGCACCCATGTGCTGTGTCACGTGGCTATGCAAGCCAGGTCATGTGTGGTATCCCTGGGTCCTCCCGGGAAGATCCGGGGTAAAATAGGTCTTAAGCAACCAATGCTTTCCGTAAAAGGCGACTATTCTTGCCGTAAGAGGCGACTATTCTTGCTGTAAAAGGCGACTATTCTTGCCGTAAGAGGCGACTAGCGGGATCGGGTGGTCAGACTCGCCGACTTGGTTGACGCATGTAATCGTATCCCTATTGTTTTAGATCGATGCTCATGATGTCATCTGGATTTTCTGTTCAAGATTAAATTATTTACCGACGTCATATAGCTGGAATATTGCTGAGTGTGGTGTTAAACAACGCACAAAGTCGCTCTCATTACTGTAATGAAATGGCTGATATAAACGCTGGAATTCAAGACGTCTTAAACTTAAAAATACAGTTGATTTCTTTTGAGAATAAACCCCATGTATACAGCACATTTCACGCTAAACAAAAGATATTACACACATTGAATAAATAAACAATGCATTTACTTCCCATTCACTTACATATATAAGCCCCCATGGTACAAAATAATTACAGACCGCCTCCGTGGTCTAATGGTAGAGCGTCCGCCCGGCGAGCGGAAGGTCCGGGGTTCGATCCCCGGCCGCGTCATACCAAAAGACGTTAAAAGATGGTACTTGTTGTTACCCTGTCTGGCGCTCTGCATTAAGGGGCTAAAACAAGGACTGGTCGGCTCGGAGTCAGTATACTGTGTCTGAGTGGGGTATTCATGTTAAACTGCGGCATGGTATCTCAGTGAGCTAGCAGTTTTAAATCGGCATCAGTCCGGACTAGTACAAGCAGCCACACACACGTACATGCACGTCGCTATATAAGTGCAATAATCTTGGACGCGACGTTAAACCCCATTTTACCTCACCTCACCAAAATAATTACAATTCAGCACGGCGTTTGTCCGAAACAGCATGAATAATACCAAAACACAGACCCTATTCGTATACAAGTCTCATATAGACTCCCTGGTGCCTACATTACCGTACTAAATATGCCCGTATCTAACCAAATTAGATGTTTTAGTTTCAGACCAACGAGAACACACGGAAGCACGAAACACTAAATTCCCGTGGTTGAATACTGATTGCCGTTTTCTGAACACTGACAAAAACTATTGCATTGAACGTTGAGAGTTGACTAACTGTATTGTTGTTTCGGTCAATAGTGTTACACGTGTCGGGTCGTAGGGACGAAGGCTATTATAAATTGTGATTATCTACGTCCCTCGAGGTTAAGAGAGGTCCTCAAGGCTGAGAGAGTTCCTCAAGGTTGAGAGAGATCCTCAAGGTTGAGAGGGGTCCTCAAGGCTGAGAGAGTTCCTCAAGGTTGAGAGAGATCCTCAAGGTTGAGAGAGATCCTCAAGGCTGAGAGAGATCCTCAAGGTTGAGAGAGATCCTCAAGCCTGAGAGAGTTCCTCAAGGTTGAGAGAGATCCTCAAGGTTGAGAGAGATCCTCAAGGCTGAGAGAGATCCTCAAGGTTAAGAGAGATCCTCAAGCCTGAGAGAGTTCCTCAAGGTTGAGAGAGATCCTCAAGGTTGAGAGAGATCCTCAAGGCTGAGAGAGTTCCTCAAGGTTGAGAGAGATCCTCAAGGTTGAGAGAGATGGAAGACAAAACTCAGAGGGACGTGTAAATCAACAGCAGCCATGTTTATTGTGGATGGGGGAATAACGGTCGAAAAGAAATAAGCGCGTGACAGGACGCACACCGGGACCGAGTGACCATTGATCCCCGCGCGGGTACCCGTTCACACATGTAGGAAGACAGATAGCGATTCTTCATCATGAACGTAGTTGTCGTCATATAGCCGGGAGTGCGGCGTTAAACAACAAACAAACAAACAAACAAAACAAAACAACCTGGTGCAAGGTCAGTGAACCACGTTCATGGACATTAGTAGATCCGGCGATGTAAGGTGTTAATTGACATTTGTAGATGGCGCTAGAGATTAGGGGTTCTTATGATTAGTGGGGATACGCCGAATGTTTGCTAAATATATTGAACAGACAAAGGGGTTAGAAGTTCGTTGCACTTTGGAAACATACAGTACTTTAGTAAAATGAAGTTGTGAAACAGGAATAAGGTCCATGTCCATTGCCACATCCACTTCATATGAGGCGCAAGATGGCTGCCCCCACTGACCGGAAGTACGGCTCCATTGATGTATTCTGCATCCGGTGAAAGCAGGAACTTGACTGCTTTCGCCATTTCCTCAACCGTACCCGCTCTACCATTTGTTTTATACTTTTCGGTGAGTTCGTCAAACTATTATAAAAACAAAATAAATTCTCTGAGCGTCAAGTTCACATTGTGTTTATGGAGAATACTGGCTTAGTGTTATAGGATACAATCTATATATTATTTTATTTTAATAACACACCAGAAATGGGTTTTACACCTTATACACATGTGGGGATTCGAACCCGTGCCCTCGACGTGACTTTACCCACTGGGCTACCCCACCGTCTGTAGGTACATGAACCCCGTGAAGATCCGGGTTAAACTGGCCCATTCGTCACCACTCTCCCCTTTCCGTAACCTGCAAGAAGACTCGTCCCCCTATCGATGAATGTTAAGTGCGAAAATACGACAAACCAATCAGAATGCGCGTATGTTTTCAAGTTCTTTGTCAAAGAATCCCTCAGAAATAATATTTGATTTTACATAATTTTATGTCTTGCATCTAAAAATATACCCAAGGCACAGTTAAATGTGTTCAAACATACTGTATAATTCCGCATGTCCAGATGTGCTTTAAATTGCATCTGAAATATATTTAATATACGGGGAAATATGTGTGAACCATTACGCAACGAGTTGACAATTGGTTTAGGTATGCCCGTTTGCGCTAAGACGGAACCCGATCGCAAAAATCGCCACGAGAGGGGCACGAGTCGCTATTTGGCTTGTCCCGGAATAACACGAGTTGGTCACGAATGAAACTGGCCTTTAGCAACCCATGCTTGCCGTAAATGGGATCGGATGGTCAGGCTCGATGACTTGGTTCATGCATGTCATCGTGTCACAATTGCGAAGATCGATGCTCATGATGTCAATCATTGGATTGTCTGGTCCAGACTTGATTATTTACAGACAGCTGTCATATAGCTGGAATATTACTGAGTGCGGCGTTAAACAACAAACAAATTAACAAATCACACGAACTTGATCCGGCTTTGAATAATCAACCATTCCAAATCTTTCAAACATGTTCGTCAGCACCAATCCAGGACTGGGAAAGAAGAAGCAAAATATGTTAATGAGAATTTGGTCTCTCGCAGGAGTAGCGGTACCATATCTAGGCTGTATTTGCTAGTATGGGAATATTACTTACTTTGAGAGGCTATTCATTGAGTTTGGATTATCTCTAAATTCCAGACTCTCATTTAGTGAGTTGCGTTAACGCCGTTGGAACAGTATTCCAGTTACATCACGGCGTTGCAGCCTGAGACCCGTGAAGATCCGGGGTAGAATAGGTCTCCAGCAACCCATGCTTGCCGTAAAAGGCGACTATGCTTTTGTTCTCAACATCATCTGCTAAATAAATGGCGCGATTTCTTTCAGTGCGGGGTATGTAAAGGCCAAGGCCGTCAATGGCGAACGGAGCACGGCAAAAGGCCGATAAAATTGAATACCTCATCACACCATCAGGTTTATGTCTCGCTCACAGAATGACGATGGGCGGAACGATGGTGCCATCTATTCAGTGTGTTTTGACGCGTGACATTTGTGGACGCGCCCCAATATATAAGAAATTCGGTAAGTTAGCTGTACAAATTCTGTTTATTTGTTTGTTTGTTTGTTGTTTAACGCCGCACTCAGCAGTATTCCAGCTATATGACGGCGGTCTGTAAATAATCGAGACTAGACCAGACAATCCAGTGATTGAAATCATGAGCATCAATCCACGAAATTGGGATACGGTGACATGCATCAAAGTGTAACACACTCAGAATCCTAATCGGTGCAAACTGCCTTATAAGAGCAACACACTCACCAGGCGTTAACCCTCACTCCATCGCGAGCTACCTCTGCAACACAAGGTTACATTATATAACACAATGAGTGAGCTGGTACTAGACTCACTATTAGTCACCTAAATAAAGTTTTCTTATTTAAAAATACATATCTACAAAATAGAAAATAACATCCAAATGAGGCCGAGATCAATGCTTTATTTCAGAGCTGAAAATCATTCCAGACTTGAGTTGAATTCCTTTCTTACTTTATTTTTTTTTTTGGGGGGGGGTGGGGGGGTATTTAGTACTAACAACGCTTGTTATGAATATGATTAAGACAACAAATGCTGTTTTAGATGGCCAAACATCGCCTCATGGCATGTGTAACTACTTACTGATCATTGCAGGTTATAAACCATACAAAGATTCAGTACTGTACTATTACCAATACATTTGCATTTCATTCTACAAAATATGTTCGCGTCGAACGTGTCATCAAATCGGCTGCTTTAGCCAAAGATGTGATCATGTTTGTTTTTTTAAAAAGCGATTGACCAATTTTAAAATGATATAAAACGACAGAGAATAACCAGTCTCGATTATCCGCCGAAACAGAGGGCAAAATAGCAGTGAAAATTATGTCATTTCATGAATCACTAAAAACGGTGATGACACCAGGTGTTCGCGAAAGGATAGGCATGTCCTGTCTCGCAATGAATGCATTTACATTATTTGCGTAATCGAAACGTGTTTTACCAAGTGCCAAGAGTTTGGTGACGTGTTCTAGAGCAGCCTTGGATGTCCCGTACAGCAGGGTGGTCTGAAGATGAGAAGAGTCGTTAAATGAAGGTTCCGGAAGCACCCAGGCAGTATCACTAAATGTTTATACCCGTAAACATCCGGGTTAGAATACGTCTTCAGCAACCCATGCTGCGTAAAAGGCGACTATGCTTGTCGAAAGAGGCGTCTAACGGGATCGGGTGGCCAGGCTCGCTGACTTGGTTGATGCAAGTGATCGTATGCCAATTGCGTAGATCGATGCTCATGATGTCAATCATGGATTGTCTGTTCCAGACTCGATAATTTACAGACCTCCGTCATACAGCGGGAATATTGCTGAGTGCGTCGTTAACAAAAAAAAAAGAATATTGAATGCAACAATCAGCAATATTCCAGTTATATGACGGCGGGCTGTAAATAATCTGGACCAGACAATCCACTAATTGACATCATGAGCATCGATCAACACAAATGGGTGACGGTGGCACACTGTCGTCCAGTTTCAAACAGTGCCTAAACACCCTATCCTCCCCAGGCCGTCGTACAAGCAGAGGGTAGTGGGAATTGATACTGACATGGAACTACTAAAGCGTTTGGATTCGCTCGTGAATTAACCATAGGAGTTTAGTCGTGTTTTATGACGTGACCTCTGGTGACATTGACCTTGACCGTAGCTGAATGTCGACCAAACACTAACTCACTCTGATTAGTTCCTCGTATCATGTAGGTCAAGTTCGGTCAAGGTCACATTTAAAAGACTGGCCTCAAGAGTTGACCTTCACTCTCCTTGTTCACACGGGAGAACATTTCCAGTTGCAAGCTTATTTTGTACTTAAATACAAGACACTATGTTACATCAGCACTTTCGGTTCCAAATTCAATTTAGCACGGTTAAAATGTACAGGTAAATTGGCTGTACACTGAAAACACATTCCTAAATGGATCGTAGTTCCTGTATAGTTAAATGTTTAAAACGTAACCGAATAAAACAAAGGTGACACCAAAGCACCTGTAGACGTGGTGTTAACTTACAAATCTGGAGGTTGTAACAGAGGAAATGTTGACGACACAACCTGGAAGATAAAGCAACATGTTACAAATGCCCGTTTATTTATTTGTTTGCTTTACGGTGTATAGCTATAGTCAATATGTGTCCCGGCGGCCTGTACATAATCGAGTCAGAACCAGTGGTTGATATTATGAACAACGCCCGACGCCGCACGAGGCTGGCAAAGGTTGCTGGGGATATAATTGCCAGGGTATTTTTAAGTGATCGTCAAGTAACATTGTGGATTGACTGCAAGAATGACTGATGTATGAAATATAAACGGCGTGATGAGCGGGCGAGTTGGGTTTACCGCCGCTTTAAAATTTATTTTAGTAACGGCATAATTGCTGTTAGTTGAATGCGGGGAAAGCTCACAGACGTTTACCAGTTTGGTTACCCCTCTGAATGTCACTGGGACATTTCCGTTCTTGACCTTTAACCCTCAGATTGAAGTCGTAAAAAATTATAACTACATTACGCACATAAAAAACATTTCCTAGTTTGAATTCTGCTAGCGATTCTCTATTCTGTGGTAAACAACATCTGATAACTAGGTCCAGGATAAATATCTCTACCAGTTTCACTTTGCAATTAATTTTACTGCATCAGATCGGATAATGTACCCTACATCCCTTGTATGAGTAAGAGGTGGAGCCAATGCCGAGCGACAACGTTTTCTTTGAGAGCGTATAAACAAACCTAAAATTAACTCGGCATCCAGAGGTTAAACACGAAAGCTGGTACGGTGCTAGTTTCCAAAACACTGTAGCTCACCTGGATATGTAGTCAACGGATTAACGTGTAAACAAAGACTACCACTTGAAAAATGTTGCTTTCAGCATTGATATTCAAATATTCTGCATATTATCAGGAGAAACCCGTGAAGATCCGGGGTAGAATATATAGGTAATCAACAAACCCATGCTTGCCGTAAAAGGCGACTAACGGGATCGGGTGGTCAGGCTCGCTGACTTGGTTGATGCATGTCATCGATCCCAATTGCGTAGATCGATGCGCATGATATCAATCACTGGATTGTCTTGTCCAGACTCGATTATTTACAGACCGCCGTCATATACCTGAAATATTGCTGAGTGCGGCGTTAAAGAACAAACAAACAAACATCAGGAGGACATTAGTTACGAATATGAACAAGTAGTTTGTATCTACAAGGTTCCTAAACCTGCAAGAATAGATGTACTATTGCAGAACATATTTGCGATATACATTTACGACCCACAGTTTTAACTCTGGAGGCGAATATTTTTCCTTGTGGCATACACTTTTTCCAGTTGTTTCACAAGAAACTCCTTATGATTTGAACAAAACATGAAATGCGTTTGGAGAGAATGTAAGGGTCAAAAGTGCAAAGGTAATTGTGAACAAACATGACTGTGAAACGGCCTGAACAAAATCATGTCGTCATTAGTGGGAAAAGGTATGTGAGGTTTCAGCATCATTTGTCACGTGGTTTCTGATGAGATGTTCACGGCTGATAACGTTTTTCGTATTTTCGAATATGGCCACTGGCAGCCATCAAAATATCTGAAACAAATGTCGCACTACACAAGGTGACCATCTCAATCCTCAAGTTACTGGCCTTCGGCCCTTTGACGTTTTAAGAAGATTTATGTTGTTGTTTTTGCTTGTTTTGAATCAAAGATGGATCCTGGCGGCCATATTGTAACGTCGACACATAATTTCAGCTTAAAATGGAAACTGTTTATGGACACCGACTTGCGACGACATAAGCTCATATGGCCTCTAAGGCCAGGTGAGCTAAAAATCCAAAATGAAAGATTTTTCCATCCAACCTGGTGTTCCGAATGCATACAGACCCTTAATTTATCACTTCCGTGAAACAATGTTTCAAACTGGATTTCCATCCTCCGCAGTGATGTAACTAAAAAATAATCCGTTCGAAGGGCATTTCGTCCTTTCTCACCCTATAGGGCAAACCAATGGATAATGCTTCAAAGAAATTTCATAAAACAAATAAGCAAACAACCTTTTGTCACTTTAAGAAAGGGCATGGCTGCCTGGGCGAGGAAGAGTGTGTGCCACGGAAGGAAACTTACATATATTCCAAGGCTACCAGAGTTCGTAACTGACGTGGATTTCTCAGGCAATTTTCTTCGAAACATATCCTCAAAATTACTTAAGTTGAAAAGGTTAACTCTGAGGTCAAACAATATAATAAGCATGTCAGTTGACACATTTATTCATCTGACTACCTTGACCGAGTTGTATCTTGACAACAATAGTTTCTCGGGAAAATCTTTAGCTGGAACATTCAAGACTTTGAGCCATCTTCCTCTTCAAACATTATCGCTTGTTCAACTGAAGTTGAACGATTCACATATCTTTCATCGGTTACATAGTCCCACAATGAAGTATGTGGACCTAGGGAGAAACGACTTGAAAAGTTATAATCAGACCGACTTCAGCGGCGTCTTCAACCTTCAGACTTTATCACTGGCTTACCATTCCATCCGGGAAGTGAATCTCGCGTACGCCCCATCGTTACTGGAACTGAACCTGAGAGACAACTATATTTCAACGTTTCCTAATTTTTGTAGGACAAATGGGTCCTTTTTTCCAGGCCTTAGAAAACTGAAGTTGGACCACAATGATTTATACACAATTGAGGGTGGGTGCATTCAATGCCTTACGAATTTGGCCCTCTTTTCTCTCAACACCAACCGCATTCGGGAAATAAAGCCAAATTCATTCTCGGAAATGCCTTCACTAACTAATGTAATCCTGAGAGACCTCGGTGGAGCGAACCTTCGTATAGATCAACATGCTTTCAACAACAGCAAAATAGAATACATATCTTTAGCATCATGTGGTATAAACTTTATGACACATGTACACAAAGATGCATTCAAAGGATGTTCCAATCTACAGTCAATTGATGTTTCTTTTAATCAGTTCCGGAGCACATCCGACCAAGACCTTACTGACTGGTTTGGACACTTAACATCCTTAACGGGGCTTGGTCTTGGAAGCTGTGGAATTAAATCGTTTCCAAAGTTCATTTCAGTTTACTTACAAAACTTGAAATACCTAAAACTGTATGAAAATGGCATGGGCGAGTTACCCGTAGGTGTCCTGACACCTTTAAAGAACCTTACCCACATTTGGCTATCAAATAACCGATTAGCTAAAATAGATGAACGAGTGTTCACCTCCGAAGTCCAACAAAAGCTTCAAGTTGTTGATTTAATGCACAATCCGTTTGCGTGTAACTGTGAACTCCTATGGTTCCTCAACTGGACAAAGTCAGAACGTAGGAAGTTCAAAGACTATCCGGAGAAGTATGTGTGTTCCAGTCCTGGGGAAATGAGAGGAAGAATACTCTCCAAGGTCTACCTCCCTGAACAGTCATGCCTTCTCCCCCTCCCTGTTATCTTTGTCCTGATTGGTGTCTGTGGGATTTGCTTCCTTGTCCTAACGACAGTGTCTATCACGTATAGATACCGATGGCACATTCGGTATTATATATACACGAGAAGATACCAGAAGGGGGAACTCCATCGACTTGAAAACATAGAGAGTAAATATGATGCTTATGTAATATATAGTTTGGAGGACATCAGATGGATCAAGAACGAACTCATTCCTAAAGTAGAGGGAACACATGGTTCCAGATTGTACATTCGTGACCGAGACTCTTTGGCCGGTATCCCTATCGTCGATAACGTTGTTAACAATATGAATGTCAGTAAAACCATCCTGATCCTTCTGTCCAATGCTATGGCCAGAGATGAGCAGTGTCAGTTTGAGCTGATGTTTGTCAAGAGACAGCTGGAAAGGGAGAGGAATCCCATCATCCTGGTCCTGCTGGAGGAGGTCCAGGTCGCCAACATGACGCAGTCTGTGTACGCCTTGGTCAGGATGTATCCCTTCATCCCTTGGGGAGACGAAGAGGATGCCAGAAGATTCTTTTGGGATCGCCTAGTTTTATCGCTGAACAATGTACGAGAAGTCAGACTAGACTCTGGAGATGCTCAACACCTCCCATGAATCCACAAACTGGGGTGTGGTGTAGACAAACCACTGATCATTATTATGACGAATTCTGGATTCGAACCAGCGATCAATGCAACTCTGCACACTGCCCCCAAAAGAAATCCATGCCCAACATTGACACATGTATGTGACAGGAGTAGGCATCCAATGGACATGCACAACTAGTTAGAGAATCGTGTACCTTGTTAGTGGGATGTTTGTGTGCTGTACCAAGTATGATATCACCGTATGTTGTTGACGAGTAATCAATTCACTTTGACAGATTTGAGGAATGGCGGATTCCATGAGGTGTTAAGGTAAAATTTCGTACTGGTCAGTGATCGTGGTTTGAGTGACAGTGGAGACCGTGGACAGTGTAAATTACAATGTTTGTTTGTTTGTTTGTTTGTTATTTAACGCCGCGCTGAGCAATATTGGCATTATTTAGGAGCTTGTGACGTCACTGATCGTAACAGTATGGAAATAATACTCAGGGTAATGTTTTTTGTTTCTTTGTTTGTCTGTTGTTTAACGCCGCATTCAGCAATATTCCAGCTATATGACAGCGGACTGTAAATAATCGAGTCTGGACCAGATAATCCAGTGATTGACATCATGAGCATCGATCCACGCAATTGGGATCAATGACATGCATCAACCAAGTCAGCGAGCCTGACCACCCGATCCCGTTGGTCGCTTCTTACAACAAGCATAATCGCCTTTTACGGCAATCATGGGTTGATGAAGCCCTATTCTACCCTGGATCTTCACGGTCAAGGTCAATAATTACAATGTACCTTGTATTGTATGAATGCATATCTTTCAGAATTCGTCCGCTAGAAGCGAATCGGCGCCTTAACCCCCCGATTTCCGCGTTGTCACGCGGACACTTTAATTAAACTATTTCGAATGTCTTTTCCTGTATGCATTTCGGTCCCTCAGCTTCCTGAACTAGCTTGTACCAGAGCCCGAGCTTAAGACTTAGCACTCACTACACCAGGAAGCACGTTTGTTGTACAGACTGTACTATTACAGTCTAATTTTATTATTTGAAGTTATGTCACATCTGTAGATAAGATTAAAACGTCTCAACGTGTTGGTTGATAAACGTAACTCTGTCAAGCATATACATTCGTGACCTACTCGTGTTATTCCGTGACAAGCTGAATAGCTTCTTGCAGGTTACGGAATGGGGCGAGTGGTGACGAATGAAGTATTTTTTGTATGAATTTGTGTTCACTTCGAAGTCGCAAGGGATTCTTATCATGGAGCAGAAAATCTGAAGGATATGTTTACGCTGTAAACGAGTACCCGATTTTAAAATATCTTAATGAATTTGGCCTCTATCATAAATTGTGATTGTGTCTTGAAATTATTATCATGTTTATTGTATAATTATCGTTAATATGTGTCTAGATGTAAAATAATTGTTTATCTTGTTTGTTGTATACTGAAACTGTTATACCTGCCTTCATGTGTCACTGAGAAGGTGTTTGATCTATAAACAAATGATATTGCCGATGCGACATTAAATATTAACTCACTCACTCACCGATGTGTTTTCACGATCTTCCGCTTAAGTAGGTTTGGTTGGTTGGTTGGCTGGTTGTTTAACGCCGTACTCAGCAATATTCCAGCTATATACAGCGGTCTGTAAATACTCGAGTTTGGACCAGACAATCCAGTGATTAATATCATGAGCATCGATCCACGCAATTGGGATCAATGACATGCATCAACCAAGTAAGCGAGTCTGACCACCCGATCCCGTTAGTCGCCTTTTACGACAAGCACAGTCACCTTTTACGGAAAGCATTGGTTGCTGAAGACCTACCCCGGAATCTTCAAGGGTCTCTTCCGCTTAAGACACAGTGCACTGTGCGGCAGAAATGTCATGGAATCACACATGGAATTACATTGATAAAACAAAACAAAACATATTAATACTCTAGTGTCTTTCGATAAAGAAAAAAGAAAAAGCATGTATTATTAAACTTAGAGTCATTCAGTATGAAAATAACCTTTCAAATCTCTCAGCAGGATTAGAGCGGTTATTTATTGACTTGATTCGTTAGTCAGCTGCTCCTGAAATGTTGATTTTATCAGAAAAAAACTCAGACCTGTTCATCCCCAAACTTGATCAATATTAAGATTTTTTCCGACCTAAAAAATACATATTTCACGTGAGGTGAAATGGGGGATTATAGTTGGGGGATTATAGCGTGCGTACGTGCGTGTGTGAGTGCGTGTGTGAGTGCGTGTGTGAGTGAGTGCGCTCGCTCGCGCGTGCGTGCGTGCGTGCGTGCGTGTGCGTTAAATGTTAATTTCCCTCGGGTTTTTAGTTACCTTTCCGTCGATAACTAATAAACCACTTGGACCTATAGTATATAAAACATCTTCTTAAAGTCCAATCGCTGCATCTTATCATGATGGTCTTACTACTTATGTAAGTTAAAATGCTAATCCATGGTGTCGGATTAAAGTTGGTTAACAAACACACTCAATAGCCTTGGCTAGCCTACTGATGCTGGTTAACTAACAGGTGGTTTGATCCGAATCTATTTAAGGGCAAGTAAAGTCAACATAGCAACTTTGCAGATTGCAATTCTTTAGATGATACTTGAGTGAGTGAGTGTGTATGGTTTTACGCCGCTTTTAGCAATATTCCAGCAATATCACGGCGGGGGACACAACAAATGGGCTTCACACATTATACCCATGTGGGGAATCGAACCCGGATCTTCGGCGTGACGAGCGAATAATTTAACCACTAGGCTACCCGACCGCCCCAGATGATACTTGATCACAAATGGAGGACCAAAATTAAATTTGAAAAAGGGAAAAGCCAGAAAAAAACGGATTATAAAAAACGACAGTCAAATTAGTTCCCCAAACGAAAAATTCCCCCACTGCGGGGATTCTCCTTACTGGGGTTAAAACGGGTTACCGGTGTTTGAGACGCGCTGCATAATTTCAACGATCGGGGCGGCGCCTAGTCTGCCTGGTGGTTTATTAGGGGTCTTCCTACCTGTCCCGCGCCTATTGTTATGAGTGAGTGAGCTTGGTTTTACGCCGCTTTTAGCAATATTCCAGCAATATCACGGAGGGGGACACCAGAAATGGGCTTCACACATAGTACCCATGTCGGGAATCGAACCCTGGTCTTCGGCGTGACGAGCGAACGCTTTAACCACTAGGCTACCCGACCGCCCCCCTATTGTTATGGGTACAAATTCACCCGAGCGTGGTGATGGGTAAGATCATACGTGATTAAGGGGGGCATCTCACATATGACACAACTAATTAGGGATAAATGTCTCACAATAAATACCGACACAGATACTTGGTGAACTATATTCACAGTCACCGTACTAAATGAAAACTTGTACTGAGTATCAATGAGTGAGTGAAAACATTAATCATTCAGTACATTTGGGCTATGAAGGATTTACAGACAGGAAACGGTAATCCACTGAGGCAAATGTGCAGGTTGATTTACCGCCGTCATATAACTGGAATATTGCTGAGTGGGGCATTAAACAGCAAACAAACTATCGCTACTCTAAGCCATAGGAATATAGGCCACCTACATTGTTTTCTTTCAGACCAATAGCGGTGCACATGTCAACGGTTGCTGCCAACCCCCTTTCATCACGGCCATGTAAGGTCAGGTTGTAGCCACTTGTAATACGTCCATTGTAATACAAATGTAACTATGGGCCGATGGCCTACACTTACGAAATAAACCGAATTGAATTGTAGCCACTGCTTGCTAGTTCTTTAGCTATACCTTGACCAATACAACTGCTTGCACCTGGAACAATGAAATATTATTTTGGTTAAAATCTCCAATATTCATATGGTTTAAACATATTTATATTTCAAAAGAAATCTGGATCGGTAAACAAGCAAAACTTTCTTATGTAAATACCTCTCCAGGTAATAACTTTACAACAGCTGGTTATATATAAGATTATATGTAAGATAGTGCTAAACATAAACATACTAAATGCACAAATGAAATATATGAAGCCAATACAAGTGGTGTCTGTGAAATAAGATATAGCAGTTTTCCATTACTACATGCATAAAATTAAGCTACTCGAATCTTTTGCTTTTGACAATGAAATCGTGAACTGATTTAAGAATAGTCATGTTTGTAGAACTGCTAACTAAACTACTGCCATGTAATATCGTTTTTTAAATCATACCCTTGTGTGTAGAAATACATAGTGTTTCTGATATTATCGTATTTTTGACAGGTATAGAAAAAGTGAATTGCGTCTTCAAAGTGATACCCACAAGTGCAGTCTGATATGTCTGATACATGTCGTCTAAACTTATCAGCGTTTAGGTCACTGCAGCCGAGCCTAAGGCGACAGTGGACAATCTGGCATGATCTATGACCGTATTTTAAGTCAAAATTATTAATAATTGTATCAGGACGATTAATTAAGGATTTGAATTCTTTTAATGAACAAGAATTAGTAACTTCATTGGGTAGAGTGTTCCACAGATTAATCGTATCCGAAAGAAATGATTTAGCAGAGGTCTGAGTTCTACATTTGATTGTGTGTATGTTACATCTATTTCTAAGGTTATAAGTATTGCTATTATCAGAGACTGGACTTGGAATGAGATCGTTGAGATATACAGGTGAAATACTGTTTTTCATTTTGTAAAATGTTATCAATTTGAAGCGGTGTCGTCGTTCTTTTAAGGACTGAAAGTTTGTTTCGTTATACATTTTAATATGACTGGTACCCCGAACCGCCCCACAAATAGTTCTCAATGCGTCCGAATGTAAATTCTCGAGTAATTATATGATTGTTCGTTTGTACAGTTGTCCCAAATATGACAGCAGTAGTCGAAGTTTGGTAGGATAAAAGATGTGTACATAGTTTCAAGCGTTTCAATATTCATATAGTGAGTGAGTGAGTGAGTATGGTTTTACGCCGCTTTTAGCAATATTCCAGCAATATCAAGGCGGGGGACACCAGAAATGGGCTTCACAC